AGTAGCGATTTACTAAGCCCTGCCGTAAACAAATACTAACTAGACTGATGAGCATGTAACAGGTGCTGATCACATAGAAAGTGTTGGGACAGTGTTATCTTGACTGAACTCTTACTTCATGAAAATAATCTACGAGGGATTTAGAGCACCTAGTTAAGAGAATCTAGCGTTGCAGGGTCTATACTTACGGTAAATCCTTGATGGTCTTGTAAACTCAAATGCATTCCGCCTTAGAAACAAAAATAGAAAAAGATCTATGGATTTTGTTTGTTGTATACCTAGTGATGCAGTTAAACTGGGTAACAAATAAACTTGGCCGGTGATAAACAAGCAGAAATCAGTTGCTCTCTCCCTTCCCCGCCGTAGCCACAATTTTTCAATTACCTCGTTGTGTTATCTACTACTGGTGGTTGAGACCACGTGACTGTAGGGGAGCCCGCAGCACGTGGAGAGATTGGACGAGGATATGTCTGTCAATCAATCAATCAATTAGTTAGTAAGGTTATAAACCAGAAAACTGTTAATATTTTATATGCAGGTCGATGATTGGTGTCTAAAAACACAAGCAGACTTTGAGCAACTCGTCCCGTTAGATTTAGATAATCGAAGCCACGAATTTCTAGCGTAACATCCTGCTTTCCGAAGTAATAATCATAATGCAATTTAAGCACATGTAAGTAAAATAATTAGTAACCGTGATACAAAATGTACATGGCGAGCGTATTTTTAGAGAAGACGAATGAGCACACAAAATACTTATTTCATGTGATTGTGAGTATGACCTGTATAAACTGTATTGTTGCTGACTGATCTCAATTGAGTGTCGAAAGTAATCCAAGATTGCATTAGTTTTGCTGCATACAGTGCGGTCTTTCACTGGTCCCGACTATTGCCGCCACTCATCCCGTCAGTCAAAGCGGCAAACTGAAACTAGAACTAATCACGACGTGGTCGCCGCGTTTTCCCGCGCTTAACGCAGGTGCCTTATTTTTACTTGATTTTTTTATAGACTCGTTATGATTTTTTCTTTTCTTTGATTGGCCATTGTGATTACTTTGGGTTTTTTTTTCCTTTTCTCTGATTGGCCATTGTGATTATTTTGGTTTTTTTTCCCTTTTCTCTGATTGGCCATTGTGATTACTTTGGTTTTTTTTTTTTCCTTTTCTCTGATTGGCCATTGTGATTACTTTGGTTTTTTTTTTCCTTTCCTCTGATTGGCCATTGTGATTACTTTGGTTTTTTTTTCCTTTCCTCTGATTGGCCATTGTGATTACTTTGGTTTTTTTTCCTTTTTTCTGATTGGCCATTGTGATTACTTTGGTTTTTTTTTCCTTTTCTCTGATTGGCCATTGTGATTACTTTGGTTTTTTTTTCCTTTTCTCTGATTGGCCATTGTGATTACTTTGGTTTTTTTTTCCTTTTCTCTGATTGGCCATTGTGATTACTTTGGTTTTTTTTCCTTTTCTCTGATTGGCCATTGTGATTACTTTTGGTTTTACTTCTCTAAATCGAGAAACGCTTTATCAAAGTAATGTCATTATTGAAATTTGTGATGCAGAATTTGAATATATAAAGATCCTGCCTTTCTTACAGGGTTGCTGAGCGATCGGAAGTAGACTTCACTTACAAGGCAGGCGGTCTGAATTGAGCGCCTGATGTTGGTACGGTACTGGTTGATTTCATCACTTTCCGACAGGTGGTGTCGTCTACATGATCCAGTTTGTGCGCCATTCTAAAGAGTAAGAAGGGTATAAACAATATTAGTTATAAAACTTCGTGCTCTGTTCTGAATTCTGAAAATTCATGCGTAACTGATATGCGTTGTTGGCGTTCAACGGGAGTTCATCCCTTCAAATTCCTCTTCCCTTAGTAACCGCGACAGACAAGGAACATTTTAACACGATGGCAATTGTTGCGCGCGTCAAATGGATCAACCAATTTTATCAGGCACATGATAATTTCCCAGTCGACCAATACTATGAATTTACTGAACAGCATCAAGTGTTTTTGGCAAACGTCCTATATTGTTCGCTGCACTGACCTCATTAGCCTTTTTTTCGAAAAGAGATCCTCTCCAGCCTTTACGTCTATTGTTATAAGCTGAAGTTTGCCACCGACTCGCCATGATAAAAAGGCAAAATAACTGTAACCAAAAAAAAAAACAAAAAACATATCATTGAATATATCAATAAGAGATAAACGAATTCCTTAACAGAAATCACATTTAGATTGGCGAAGAGGAGGCTCTCCTGCCTCCACTAGTTCAGAACTACATTTCTGCCAGCCAGCGCCAACCTCGAAATACGCGTGGCTCTCGTGAGAGCTCTTACGTGCAAGCTCTCCACATCAAATTCTCACCGATGAGATGATTAGATATCTATGAACAAAGCTAGTTCATGGTCTCGCTAACCAACGATTGTTCGGTAAGTCACTGGATCGACAAACGGACTGTGAAAGCAAAGCGTGCGAGTTTCGAATCCTCGAGGGTACTTGGATTTGACATTCGCCCTTCGACTAAATTCATTTTTTTTTTTCAAGGATAAAATATTATAGATATAATAAATTGAGATAATTAGATTGTAAATATTTAATTTCCCTTGTCTTCTTTCCCAAGAGATTATCTTGCCGCCGCTAATTAATCCAGTGTAAGAGGCATGTTCATAAGGAATGGATGTGAGTTTCCAGAACATTAGGAAAACAGTTGATTCAAGTCAAAATTGCGATGATCATGAAGAGACCTAAAAATCGTGAAAAGGATCGAATTTTAGATTTTAGTTACACGCCAATTTCTTTAACTAGACAAGTTTCCAATACGACATTAATACTTTCTTCCAAATCAAAGTCGCTGCTCGCGAAAATACGCTTATGAAATCAAGTAATTACTCTACGTCTTTAACTCAACTAAGAAATACTTGGGAGCGGCTCATTCGAAAAGGAAGTCAACAGATCAGTTCAAACATAGGCATACTTCTCTTACAGAGTTTTTTTTTCGATCGGGTGGGTCGAGGTAAGACACGGTAATGACCGTTGAATGACGAGACCAAACAACAGTTGCGAAGGAGACGCCGCTTACTGCTGTTCCTCCGGCAGAGAAAAAAATCAAAGCAGTTAATTGCCTTAAAAATATAATTTCATGTAATATCACCACGGAAAGCAAATTGGAATTCTATTTCATCTAAAATAGGCCCTAACCAACGACATGTTGCGATCTCCATTCTTTGAATAAGCGAAGAAACACTGAAAAGAAAAAGATCCTGTTTCAAGGAGGCTCCTTTTTTGGTTTTTGCCGATCTGTACTTTGCTCCTTTCTGGTTCTTTACAAGGAATTACAACGCAATGGAGTTAAGTTCAAAGCAGCTAAAAGCAAATTTAATTGGTAGAAAATGCCAAAAAAATAAAAATCTATGCGATTTTTTTTTTTTTAGTTGGTTTGGGTTTTGCGGTTAAAATACGTGATAAAATGCAGAGTTTTTTACATGGAAATGATACGTAATGAGCGAAGTCTAATTGGCGAAATGGAATTTAACTGGTGGATAAAATTCAAGCGTGTGCATGCCCAACGTTATGTAATGTAATGAGTGGGCATGTTTGGTCATAGCACGAGATGGAATATAAGTTGTCTGGCTGGGTCGCAGTGAGTAAAGGAGCGGTTAAAAACACCTGTTAACTTAAATGATACAAAAAATGATACAAAATAATACAAAAAATGACTTGCCAACCTTTCTAATCCCGATGTATCTCGAACTAAAGCGACGGGATTCTCACAAAGACCTCATACCATTATGCTTACAAAATGAGCTTACAATTTCTGGTTAATGTCACTCTTGATTCCGTGACATCATAGGAAAGAGAAGCGCTCTGATTGGTGCGAGATATCCCATTACTGTGATATGATTGGTGCGAGATACAAACCTTAATGCGGCGATCTGTTTGGTGCAAGATACATACCCTAATGCGATTATCTCATAGGTGCGAGGAACAAACCACTCAATACCCTAACGTAGAGTTCTTTTTCTATTTTTTTGGGTTGTTTTTTTTCTTATTTTTTATAAAAATATTAACCCAAAAAGCCATCACCGTGTTTTTTTCTCATACATGTAAAGGACCACCTTAATAATCTTTGCATCACTCACGATAATTTTCTTGAAAATATATACGTATTTCTGTATAGAACCTCCAGTAACAAACTGGCTAGTTTAACGAGTAAGTTTTTCGGGCGAGGAAAACGCAATTATGTTCCCACTGCTCGACCGACTGAAATCAGTGTCAATCTTCGGTGTAAAAATCAACCTATTATAGAAGATGTGAATAAAAATCAATTACCTTGGCTTGAACTTTAACAGAAGAAGCAAAATTTTTCTTTGGGTTTGTGGGAACAAATATCGATGCGTTAAGTCCGCTAGATCCTTGAATACTGCTACGCCAGGAGAAGGTGCCACTCAGTTTAAGGGAAAATACGTCAGTCCCTCGTTACCTGGCAGAATCACACATTAGAACAATGTAGTTTGACGTCAAATGGGCATCTCTTTTCGGAGTCCATTAAGTAAAAGAGAAATGCCGATTACCGGAAAGATAGTTAGTTTCTGATTGGCTATTAATAATGCATTACGTGGACAGCAATACATGTATGACTCGTCCCCAATCTTCTCTCCCACTACAACAATATACTAGATATAAACTGTTGGACATATACTCAGTTTTCTCCACCACCCCTTCCCAGATTTTGCGCAAGGAACAAGGCGAGAGGGAACGTCAAGGGACTGGGCTGAGGATGACTGGTTCCGCACCAACCCACGTGCTTGAAATCGCGAAAAAGGTCGCACCAGGAAGCTAAAGGGAAACGTAGAAAATTTTCCCTGTGCGTTTAGCTAAAAGATTATTTAATATATACCAGTATCAGTAGTTTTCAATTCACACTGTGACATGTGGATATCAGTCATAGAATCCAGAGTCTAGAACCCACAGCAAAGTTAGCATCATCAAACAAAGAAAAAAATCACCTCTCAATTACAAAATGCAAAGCGCATTTTTTTTTATTTTGCATTTGTGATTACAAAATGGTTGAACGCTTGCTTCCGTCCGCAATGGCCTCGGTCCTGAATTCAAACTGCCTCACTTTCGAAATGAGGTTGAACGCTTGCTTTCGTCCGCCATGGCCTCGATCCTAAATTTAAACTGCCTCACTTTAGAAATGAGGCCAAGTGCCAACAAATTACTTGCGAAAATGACTTTTTTATAATAATACTTATATAGCACCAATATCAATATTGCTTTTTTGCCTTGATAATAAAAACCAGTGTTCATATCAGAGGCTCCAGCTTCGTTTTAAAACGGGAGCTTGTGTCATGCATGGGTTGAATATGTTGCTTGGTTCTCATCTATGCATCAAAGTATTTTCGCTAAGTTCTTCAAAGCACAACAGTCAATACTCAATTCTTTCCTAGACGAAGATTCACTAACCCTTAGTACAGAATTCTATTTGTTTATATATTTAATCACCCACTGTAATCGCACATTCCTTAATAGGCCTCACTTAAGATCAGGAGATTGCGTGACACAAGAGTGACCAACTATTTTGAAGAAGGCGTGACACACGTACATCTTATCGGCCTCTCTCACAGATCAACAAACACATGACGATATCTCTCTTCCAAAACCCCAGTGGTTGTTCCAAAATCCAGTGCAAAGGTAGCCACCGGGCCCATGAGAACGGAACATCGGACCGGTTATAACGTAATCAGGAACCATATTTGAAAACGGCGATCTTGTCATCGGTGGAATCGTGGGCGTGGCCAGGCTCACGGCGTCTCGAATGCCATCAATGGAGTTTCCAGTAATAATTAATGCCAGGCGAGAGCCAGCGTGTGGTGCCAGGAAAACCGCGCCGGTCTGGGGAGAGGAGAATGTACAACGACCTGTCGGGCAAAAGATGTTTTAAAAAAAGCGTCAAGTATCTTCCTTTTGAGGTTGTATTCCTTCTTTCTCGAAGCTTTGAAGTGCATATCACGTAGAGGAAGGAATATGTAGGGGACACGGTGACCAAGTGATAATCGGGTTCGAATCTGGATTGAGGGGTCTGGGTTCGACATCTTGGGGAAAGTCATTTTACCCCCTCCACCCAGGAGCATAAATGGATACGACGAGCTGGGAGGGGGGGGGGGGAAAAGGAGGGTAACCCTTCGTTGCACTAGCATCCCATTCAATGGAAGTGGCTTTGTCCGTTGTTGCTCAGGTATTGTGGGCTGCTTGATTAATAACACGTCTAAGATGATGTACGGCTCTGCATTCAATTTGTCAAGAAATTTCTTGTAATACTTACCCAAAACCAGAGTGTTACTCTCGTGCTTCAAGGGAACTTTCTCGTGAAATTGTTTAATCCAAGAATTTTCTTGAGGACTTCCAACGAGTATCAAGTTATACTGTTCAGCGGTTTCCTCGTTTAAGTCAGTATCAGAAACGACTGGCACCCAGGCGTCAGACGTTAAAAAGAAGAGGTTCGCTATATACACTGCAAACTGCCTCAAGGTTGTGGTAATGTGATTCGCTTGAGATGAGGTACCTGCATAAGAGGAAGCGAAAAATTAAAGGCACTGACTAAATATGTTAGTGCAGCGTACGACGAATCATTAGTGAATTTTGACGGATTATGGCACTTCAAGTAAAGCATAGCTTTATTCCTCGGTTAAAAACCAAGAGCTGTATATTTTGTTCTATCTGTGCGCAGTAAAAACATGTAGGTATATTTTAGGAATTTGGTTAAGCAACTAAAGCGTTGTTTCCGTGAGTGGGAAGGTAAGGACATTGTATCTTTGTTAAAGAGGAGAGCATTGTATAGTTAGTACAGAACTTTCCAAAAACAACGACGACAACAACAACATAAAAACGATAAACTAACTGAAAAATAGCAAGTGCGCTTTCAACAGTTCTCTTGAGTGCCAGCTGACTCTGTTCACTGTGTTTATAGCGTCAGAAACAACTGCTGGTACTTTCTACCAAAAAAGGTAAAATAACAGTTTTCTATGGTACAATAACATCACAGTAGAAAGAACAAACATAAAAGGAGCAACCATGATACATTGTAAATGTCAGAGGTTATTTTACATCACACAGGTGAATGATGCTTTTCACACGCGTTGACTGGATCGGGAGCGATTAGCAATAATAATTCGCCTCCAAGCAGCCGAAGAGAAAAAATGACGCGTCAAAAATTTAATTTCGGACCATTTTTGGCATATCTACAGAAATAAACTATTTTTTTTCGACGTCTGTTTGTTATTTACTAAAACTGTTCATCGAAGTGCGTGGAGCCGAATAGAGGCGGATATTTCAGTACCGAGCTGCGAAAATATTAGGAGGTGTTCAACGATTGAAAGAGCAACCAGATACACTTGAAACGTCTCACACGACCAAATAAGGTCACGTCGTCAGATAAGAAAACCTGAACCGCAAATATTTCCTAGAAATTGTTACATGACGCCAGACAGATCAAAATAACTTTTCACAGAGAGAGATAAAACTCGTTAAATTTCAACAATCTCCACTTCCAGGAATTTCGTTTGTCATTCTTCTTTACTTTTTCCTCTGTTGTATGACAATCTCTCAAGGTTACATTCCTTAGAATCAACTGTTTTCTCCAGTATTAGATATTCAAATCCTGTCCCATATTGTGACGTAGCATTGCTGGGAAACAGCATTTGTAGATTATCTATCATGCTTTCCTTTAAGCAACTATGCTCCTTGATTCAAATTAAATGAAAACGCATTTCATTTTGAATTCCAGCCAGTTCATGACCCCATAGAGATCAACACAAAGAGAAGTTGATCCAGCTTGTCTCGTGACTAACCCATGGCTCGCCCATAGATTCCTATCGAGCTTAAGCAAATCAAACAATTTGATAAAATGTATCCCGCATATCGGAGAAACTTTGGCAATATTGTTGCCTCTCGCAACTCTTGAGCAAAATTCAAACCTTAGTGTAACGGTGCAGTAACAGTCATCATAAATGTTCACCTTTCAATACGCAGTTTAATTGCGATAACATATTTAAGCGTTTTTTGGCTCTATATTTCTGTGAACAAGGACTCATTTTAAATCGACCAATCACTTTTCGAGAGTCAAACAAGGGGATTACTCCTCAGAGAACGGTTGTAAACAAAAGAGCGTTGAGACAGCAGATCTGTATTTTCAAGCTAAAGGCAGCGAAAAGAAACACTAGTAATAGATGAGCAATAAACAACGATTGCGAACGGTTAAGAAACTCCTAAAATAGCAACGTAGTTTTCATTTTTGATATTTACTGACTTTACTTTCCAGAGGTATCCAATGACCATGTATGTCAATTCGCATTGTCTCTATGATGGAACCCTCTACGGTTCACTGACTTTCTTTTTCTAGGAAACTGAATCATTTTTACTCGACCAATTGCGTATCGCGAGTGGAAAAGGGGGTTTCCCTTCAAACAAACTACAGAACAAAAGAACTCTACTAAATAACGCAACGTATTTGTATTTACAGCTGGATAGAAAAGAGCTAAAAGAAACGCTAATAATGTCGGAAAGACTCATTCCAAAGGGAACGCAGACTGATGAAGAGGAAAGTGAAAGCGAAATTTCACATCCAATCCGCATGAAACAACAGAAGCCCCACAAGATGGTAGGATTTATACGCTGCTGCATCCTCTTGCAGTTTGGTATTTCGTCTTTACAGGACAGTGGTTTGACCCAGTACGCCTTTTTCTTGAATCTAAACTGAACTTGACACCATCAGCGACTAAACTTTGTCGTTCCCTGTACGCTGCGTGGCAAGCCATAGTGGTTCTATTCATATGGGCTTTCTTCGTGTACTCCATGGGTTTTATGGGGTTGCGAACTTTGAAAGAAGTCGACTGGCTGTGTCCGCTAACAGACATCAAGAATATAGCTTATGGGTTATGTTGGATCGTGGATCATCATACAGGTCTGTTATTCTTTCTGATGGGAAACTACGAGAATCTCCTAAAGAGGTTGACCATTACTAAAAAAGATGTCAGACGAAGATACTTGTCCAGTCCCATCCTCGTGTTTGTTGTGGCGTCCTTTCTGTTTCTTTTCGTCCTGCCACTCGGACTACACGTTACGCAGATGTTGATTCCTGATGTCATCCCCGTAGAACCAAAGATCAGAAATGGAACTATCTCAGTTACAAATAAGCCCTTTCCACATCTTCAAGTTGCTTGGGATGGAGTGTTCTTCGTTGCGCAACGTGTATTCGCATTACCAGTGTTCTACGCGTTCCTGAGCCTGTTGTTCTTTCTAAACTGCGAAGTAAATAAGTTTAAAGAAGAGCTAAAAGATCGCAATTATCTTCGCGAACACCAAGCTAGGAAACGTGCCATACGGATGAGAAATCTCATCAGAGATACAGAGAAAGCGTTTCAAGTTTTCTTGACCCTGTACATCGTTATGCTCTTGTTGACGACAGCCCTGGAAATATTCTCCATCGTGGAGAAAGTGGAAACTGTCATAACCGTGAACAATACGGTCGAGCACTTTATCCCTGTAAGCGCTGCAACGAGCAGTCTGAAAACGATGGATACAAATACCATCACAGCCATCCCTCACAGATTGACCGGCAAACACTCCTTCCCGCACGTTTTCGTGCTCGTGAACCAGGGCAATCAATCCTTACCGGGAACAGGGGGTTTCGGAGGCAGAACGCTCTCCTCGTCACTTCAAGTGATCGATCAGTATAGGATGAAGACATCAGAGATCCTCCTCACCGCTGTTCTTGACATCACCCAAAACGTGGTCTTGTACGCCATCCCACTGTACCAGATGCATGCTCTCAAGAGATGCCTAGAGGAGGTTGTGGAGATGGTGCAAGACAGTGATTATGATCACCAAGACGCCAACATGAAAATCTTCCACACGCGACAAGACAAAAAAGATTTTAAAAATTTCTTCAAGGATACATGCATCTCCGGAATTCGTGTGCTCGGTAAAGAGGTCAGTTTTCTGTGGACCCTGGTGCTAACCTTCATTGGTCCTTTTGTTGTGGTTGTTGCAAACTTGATGTTCAAACATATACATGTTGAAACACCTCTGAATTAGCATAAAAACAAGCAAAAGAGGTACCCATTTCTTTGAACAGCAGCCATAGTTAAAGCAGTTGAAAAATAGTGAACCCTTACAACAATTTGCAGGATATAAGACCATGGGCGATCGTCAAGGAAGCTTGTCACATTACATTAGGGCAATTAAGAAAGAAAAAACTATTCGTTGGGATCTCACGCAACACTTCTCCGTTTTCATACCCGTTTTTGGGGAGAGTTATGTGACATCCCAAAGGAGAATGGGACCGAAAGCTGATCCCGTTGCTAAGCAACGTTTCTTTGCAAAATTAAGTTGAAATTAAAAGAAAGAAAACACGTAAGTTTTGTACAAAAAACCGTAATATTTGCAAACCCATGGGAAAAATTGTAAATACTGCAAATGATGTATGTACTTTCAATCTCGACGATAGGTGCATAAGGTGATTTAAGATCAATCCACTCCAAAACAATGTGGTTCACAGAGTTAAGACCTTTCACAACCCTAACATCAGTATGCATATTCTCTATACTGCTCTTTATACATTTTCTAAGGTGCTGACAAAGAGAATTTGTTTAACAATTAAGAGTTTCTTTAATAGGGGATCATTTCTTTTATTCTCATGACCTTAATGTGTGATTCAGGGGTGATATTGTAAGGAGAAATTAGATGCTAGTCACTCTTAGGAGTCAAAAGATTAACAGGGAAACTTTATAGTGAAAAAACGATCTGCTTTCCTATAATTGTAGCGTGCGCTAATAGAGATTTCATTCTTTACAGGATGCAATGCATCTCAAAAGTTTTCCAAAGGTTTATCACATACTACAAAAAGTGTAAAAAATGTCTTTACAATTAACTTTTAAAAGAATAGATCAAGTTTTAAATCGAATAAAATTATTCTTAATAAAATACTGCTTTGTGGAATAATTGGCCATTTTGTGTTCTAACCTGTGACTATCGAAAAAATGTCCCTTAGCAATCCGTGCGGCTGGGCCCCTATTGGCAGGGCCTCTAACGAGTTCGCACTCACAAACCATACATGAACAAATCATTTTAACCAATTAAATTTTGTTTTAATGGGAGGGTGGGTGCGGACTCTGTACCTTTGGTAAAGGTTGGGGCAGTGTATAGCTAGTAAAGTACTTTAAAATCGTACAAAAAAAACCAAAAACAACAATAATAATAATAACCACAACAACACTAAACAAATGATAACAATGATAACAAAAAAAATAAATAACAAGTTTCGTCGTTCTTTCTAATCAGTTTTCCATTCGTTAGCTCTAATGTCGTAAAACTAGTATAAGTATATTCGTGTTGAATAAATACAACAAAAGTTTGCTATGGTTAAATAACATTAAAAAATAAACAAAGAACATAAAAAGAGTAGAGATAATATTATCTGATAAATATTACACAGTGTTCACCCTTTACCCCCTGACATCAGTATGTATATTCTCCATACTGTTCTCTATACATTTCCTAAGGTGCTGATAAGGAGAATTTATTTAACAATCAAGAGCTTCTTTAGTTGGTGATCATTTCCTTTATTCTCGTTATCTTAATGTTTGATACAGGAGTGATATTGTTGGGAGAAATTACATGTAGTCATTCTTAGAGGTAAAACGGTTGAAAGGAGCACACGGATTACAAACGGCCGACAAGCAAGATCTAACTATGTTATGCAAAATGCACAATATCTTGCAAATTTTCCATCAGTTTACTTGAACTTGTCACACAACGCCAGAAAGAAAGAAAATGCATCAGTCAGCATTTCTTAATTGACTCCTTTCTCGAAATTTCGTTTGTCAGTCATCTTTTTTTGTGTAATTCCGTTTATTTGTTTGTTTGACAGTTTGACAAGTTTACATTTCCGAGAATTAATCTTAGTCTTTTTCACTGTAAGATACTCAAATATTGACCGATGAGGTGCGATTCTGCTAATTGGGCAACAGAATATGATAAAATATTGGAAAAAATCAGTAACGAATGTATCTATCGTGCTTTACTTCCTTTAGCAAGTATGCTACTTGATTCACAATTCATGAAAATGCATTTTATTTTGATGTTCAGCTAGCTTATGACCTCGGAAGAGAAGTTGATCCAGCTTCTCTCGTGACTTTCCTGTGACTCACACGCGCCCATCAATCAAACTTATAAGTCACGAGAAAATACAGCAATTACCTTGACAATTCATGAAAATGCATTTCATTTTGATGTTCAGCCAGTTCATGACCTCGGAAAGATCAACACAAAGAGAAGTTGATCCAGCTTCTCTCGTGACTATCCTGTGACGTACCATCAATCAAACTTAGAAGTCACGAGAAAATACAGCAATTACCTTGATAATTCATGAAAATGCATTTCATTTTGATGTCCAGCCAGTTCATGACCTCGGAAAGATCAACACAAAGAGAAGTTGATCCAGCTTCTCTCGTGACTATCCTGTGACTTACCATCAATCAAACTTATAAGTCACGAGAAAATACAGCAATTACCTTGACAATTCATGAAAATGCATTTCATTTTGATGTTCAGCCAGTTCATGACCTCGGAAAGATCAACACAAAGAGAAGTTGATCCAGCTTGTCCCGTGACTATCCTGTGACTTACAAGCGCCCATCTATCAAACTTATAAGTCACGAGAACATACAACAATTACTCAAATCCTTGACTGGCGATTGTTATTGTTGATTCACGAAACATTTTAGCAAAATTCAAGTTGACCGTGCACAACGCTCACATTTTCGTGAATTTCGCAGAGCGACCAATCTAACCCTCTCATGTATTCATTCAGTTTCGATAGATGAGCAATAAACAACGATAGCGAACGGTTAAGAAACTCCTAAAATAGCAACGTAGTTTTCATTTTTGATATTAACCGACTTTACTTTCCAGAGACGTCCACTGACCATGTATGTCAATTCGCATTGTCTCTATGAAGGGACGTTCTACGGTTCACTGACTTTCTCTTTCTAAGAAAATGAATCATTATTACTCGACCAATTACGTCTCGCGAGTGGAAAAGGGGGGTTTCCCTTGAAACAAACTGTGCGGAACAAAAGAATTCTACTGTCTTAATAAAGCAATATATTTGTATTTACAGCCGGATAGAAAAGAGCTAAAAGAACGCTATAATGAAGGAACTCCTTGGAATAGAAAACCAGGGGTATAAAGCGGAAGATGAGGATGCAAATTTTAACCTCGATCCGCGTAGTATAGCCCAAACAAGAGAAGCCGCAAAGGATAATAACAATCATACGCTGCTGCATCCTTTTGTTGTTTGGTATTTCGTCTCTACGGGGCAGTGGTTTGAGCCAGTTCGCCTTTATCTTGAATCTAAACTGAATTGGACACCATCGACGACTAAAGTTTGTCGTTTCCTGTACGCTGTGTGGCAAGCCATAGTGGTTGTATTTATGTGGGCTTTCTTCGTGTACTCCATGGGTTTTATGGGGTTGCGAACTTTGCAAGAGGTCGACTGGCTGTGTCCGCTAACAGACATCAAGAATATGGCTTATGGCTTTAGCTGGATCGTGAATCATCACACAGGTCTGATATTTTTCCTTATGGGAAACTTTGAGGAACTCCTGAAGAAGCTGACCATCACCAAAGAAGATGTCAGACAAAGAGCCTCGTCCAGTTCCATCTTACCGTTTGTCGTTGCGTCCTTTCTGTTTCTTTTCAGCCTACCACTCGGATTACACGTTTCGCAGATGTTGATTCCTGAAGTCATCCCCGTGGAACCAAAGATCCAACATGGAAATATCTCAATTAAAAATGAGACCTTTCCGCCTCCTCAAGTTGTTTTGGATGGAGTGTTCTTCATCGTGCAACGTGCATTCGCTCTACCAGTGTTCTACGCGTTCCTGAGCCTGCTGTTCTTTCTCAACTGCGAAGTACACAATTTTAGAAAAAGGCTAGAAACTCGCCATTATCCTAAAGAAGAATTGGCTAGGAATCAAGCTAAAAGGATTAGAAATCTCATCAGAGATACAGAGAAAGCGTTTGAAGTATTCTTGGCCCTGTACATCACAATGCTCCTGTTGGCGACATCCTTGGAGATTTTCTCCATCGTGGAAAAAGTCGAAACTGTTATAACCAAGAACGAAACAACGTATTACATAGCCGCAAGCTCAACAACGACCAATCTACAAACCCTGGGCCTCAGTGGAGATATCATTAAAGCCATTCCTCACAGATTGACCGGCAAACACTCCTACCCGTATGTTTTCGTGCTTATTAACCAGGGCAATCAATCCTTCCCGAATACAGGAAATGGATTGTCCCCCTCACTAATTCCTCATACCAAGATTGTGATCGATCAGTACAGAATAAAGACAACAGAGATCGTCATCACCGCTGTTCTTGACATCACCCAAAACGTGGTCTTGTACGCCATCCCACTGTACAAGATGTCTGCTCTCAAGAGGTGCCTGGAAGAGGTTGTAGAGCTGGTGCAAGACAGTGATTATGGTGACCAAGAAACCAATACGAAAATCTTCGACACACGCCAAGACAAAGAAGATTTCAAAGCTTACTTCAAAGATTCATGTTCCGCCGGGATTCGTGTGCTCGGTAAAGAGGTCAATTTTCTCTGGACTCTGGTGCTAACCTTCTTTGGTCCTTTTGCTGTGGTTGTTGTAAATTTGATGTTCAAACATATACATGTTGAGACTCCTTGGCATTAGCAAAAGAGTATTCATTTTTTGAATGGCTCCTTCATAGCCGTTCATGTCGAAACTCCTTTGCATGAGCATAGAAAGGTAGGCAAAAAGGGTACCCATTTCTTTGAACAGTTGTCATAGTTTAATCAGATGAAAAAATACAGAGAACCCAGAGAAAATTACGTAGGATATTAGGCTATAGGCGATCGTCAAAGAAGCTTGTCACGCTATGAAACAACTTCCCTTTAAAAATTCGTTATTTTTGTTAAACCCGTGGTCATTGTGGGTGCCAGTGCCGCTTACACATTTAGTATTGATCACACAGCATCAGGAATCAATTCTATAATAAGTAGCGACAACAAAGTATTCTACAGTTGTTTATAAGTATACAATATTATGCATTAAAATACTACTTTAGAAAATGGTTTGCTATGATATGTGCTCACCTGTAACTATAAGAAAAGGTCCCTCGGCAACCCTCCTGGCAGGACCCATATTGGCTGGGCCTCTCACAATTTTGGACTCAAACATTGTATCGTGACAGGACTCCCATGAGTTAACATCAGATTTGCACAGAGAAATAACACATTCTTGGCCAGCTGTGCAGTACAGGAAAGAAAAAAAGAAAACAGTCAAAGCACAAGATTCTAAGCTTGGCCAAAAGAAAGGGCCTAGATTTGTGGCTCTTCACATATAAATCTAAAGGCTTCAATCACGACGAAAAAAAGGGCTGAGCACAAGAACGATTTGCAATACTGCAAGAACTTTTAATGCACTTAGAGGGCAAAGTGTCTCCACATAGAACAAAATACCCTAACCTGGCTTGAGCTAGAACCCAGACCTCTTGATTTTAAAGTCTACCTCACTAAACACAGGACCAACAATTTATCCAAATGCATCAATTGAATCAACTTACCTTGATATTTCATACCACTGACCACAGTTCCGTCGACCTCAACTGATCTTTTATGCCATGACACAGGAGATATGGAGGGCTCTTTAAGGCAGATCCTTGCTACATTTACAGTGGTCAGGACAACCAAATTTGAACTGAAGAAAATTTCAATTGAACTTTTACGGAAAGGAATAATCTGTTGCATAACACGCACACCTCTCAAACCTGGAAGATGAGCAAAAAGCATATAATCCCATTATTTAATACCATGTACCATTGTTCAAGGTCATTTTTTCAATTGTGAGGGTAAATGAAATAATAATCCCCCTGTGGGGCTTCAAAGGATTCCAGAGGGGTGTTGTCAAGGGGGACTAATGTAAGGGAGGGGCTTATCTGAGGGGAGGGATCATTGGAAAAGGAGAACAGTGTAAAAACTAATAGCTCTAAAGTAAGGGGGTTAGTAGAGAGGGGGGCTTGATAGAAACTTGAAGTCCTAGATTATGGGCATTGATAGAAAGGGGGAGCTTTTTTAAAACTTGAAGCCCCAGACTAAGAGTGTTATTAAATGAGGGAGGAGGGAGAGGTGTTGGAAGAAACTTGTAGCTCTATACTAAGGGGGGTTATTAGAGGGGAAGACTTGGTAGAAATATGTAGCTCTTAATACTAAAGAGGCTATGAGAGAAGAAGGTTTGGAAGAAAGTTGACACCCCAGACTATGGGGTTATTAAAAGGAGGAGGGGAGGACTTGGTAGAAACTTGAAGCCCTAGACTAAGGGGTTATTATGAGGGGCAAGGGCTTAGTAGAAACTTGTAGCTCCAGACTAAGGGGGGTTATTAGAAGGAGGGGCTTGGTAGAAACTTGCAGCCGCAGACTAAGGCAGGTTAATATGAGGGGAGGGGGCTTGGTAGAAACTTGAAGTTCCAGACTAAGGGGGTTATTAGAAGGGGGAGGGCTTAGTAGACACTTGTAGCTCCAGACCAAGGAGGTTGTTAGAGAGGAAGCTTTTTAAATCAATTTGTAGCTTTTCAATAAGATGATCATCAGAGAGGGGGCTTATTAGAAACTTGAAGCTATAAACAGGGGGGTGGGGTAATCAAAGAGGGGATTGTTAGAAGCTTGAACCTCTACACAAGGAGCTTATTAGAGAAAACGGCTCATCAGAGAGGGGGGTAATGAGAATTTACCATGAATCTAATCAACAATTAAAAGACTGAAAACTTTCAATCTTTAGCCTTGGAAAGCAATACTTCTAAAAAGATATACTTCAGCTTCTAACCTGTGTTTGCAACTGGGTTATACACAGTAAGCTGAAACTTCCCATTTCCTGCAGTGTTTCGATCTGTTGTTTGGGCAGAAAAGGATTTGTATTTCTCTGTTGTATCACCTGAGCTGCAATCTCCATCTTTCTCACAGTGACCTCAATGAAAAAAGTAGAACAATTTAATAAAGTAATTGTATTTTTTTGATGTGCATCAAAATAACTTGAAGTCTACCTCAAGCCCAATAGTATAGCCCAATCAAATAAAAAATTAATTTGATAAATAAATAAAGCAAACAATCACTCGACAAAAAACTGGTTCAAAACATTTTCCATTCATTTAGCTTTGTTTAATATTATTACTTTGATATTGTCAAAAGAAAAAAAAAAACCTCAAATTGAAATTTCTAACTTGCAACAGGAGAGATGATGGCAGCATTCTTTGCATGGTCAACAGAAAATTTTCTTATGACTGGATCATTCACAACGCCTCCATCATTTGTCTTGTATGTATCCCACCACCAGTGTTCTTTGCCTGCTATCTCAGAGTACGTGACATTGGTCCTCTGTTCCCGCAAAAGACGGAACATGCGACGCGTGAAATAAGGATGCACTGTCCTATCAGCTGCTCCAATCCTTATCATAACTGGCACTCCCTGGAAATCAAATTGGGATGTTATCTTCCTTTACTCCTGAATCATACAGTACTTGCCAAAAAACTACAAGTTGAAGTGACTCAGTAGTAGTAGTTCTATGAAATACTCTTCACTATACTGTCTGAAGTGGCTTGCATCTAATTTCTCTGTACAATATCACCCCTGAATCACACATTAAGGTCATGAGAATAAAGGAAATGATCAATCACCAATATAAATGGTTCTTGGTTGTGAAACAAATTCTCCCTTTCAGCACCTTAGGAAATGTTTGGAGAACAGTCTGGGGAATATGCATAAGTTGATGTTAGGGCATAAACAGTTAAGTCTGTGAATTAAAAACTCTAGTGTGTGACCATTTATTATAAATGAAGCTACTGAACATTTTTTTTATGTGTTACTGTTTATTATGCTGCACAAGGTGGATCTAGGTGGATCATTTTAATATTTTTATGGAATATTTTGTAAAGCTCTTTAGAATATTTTTATAGTTGTAGCGCTTTAGAAATGTAAATTATTATAATTATTATTACTATCTAACCTTGAAACTGTGGATAAAACCCCTGGGTGCATGTAACAATTCAATTATAAGTTACTTATACAAAGTACTCCCAAGTAGTACTGTTTATTTATACTGTACAAGATGGTTCTAAAATTTATGTCTATGGATGAAACCCAAAAATGTGACCACTCATTAACAAACAATTAGGCTACTGGGCAGTTCTTTCATGTGGTACCATTTAATATGCAACACAACATGGTTCTTATTGGTAATTTTGTGGCATAAAATTTTTGTTTGAGATTATTTAATTGATTTAAAAGAGCAATAATGTTAGACCCCAAATGAGAGACGCTGAAAACTGGAAACTCACATGTAAATTTGTTACATGCTTATCAGCATCATTTTCTGCAGTACAAGCCTCTAGTATACTCTTCACTGAAGGAGAGGTGTGACTTGTGCTGATGTCATGACGGAAGAACAAGTTGGAGTCTCCATAATCTTCTTTCTTGATCCAACCAGCTGCCGAAACTAAGGCCAAGGCATTGTCTGGATAGTGGGTAACAAGCTGCCTGATGTGAAAAAAAAAGTGGAGAAGAGGGAACTCAGTGACCTTGTTGAAGTCTATAGCTCATAGCCACAGCTTGCAGTTTATCCATTCCTGTAGCATAGAGGAGCTAGGGGTAGTCTGGGACTACTCCTTGTTCCAATAACACAAAGCTTTGTAAAATTGTTACTATTCTTGTTGTTTATGTTTGTCTTGATCATATTATTACTAATTGCTGACCAGAAGCAGATGTAGAATGTAAGTCCAGAGTGACAGAGATTGGCAGTGAAAGATGATGTCCAAACAATAGGAGTAGGTTTCATACAATTTTACATGAATGGGTTTATTGTAATTTTTGAAGAGCATGTGCTTGTCAGTTTTTAGAGAAAAACCTTGTTAAATCCAGTGAAGGGAATATAAAATCATATGGAAATGTAAACCTTTAAGTGTGGTTTGTTTGCATGTGGTGGATGGGAAGTTGGAAACTAATCAGATTGTGTTGGGGAGCAGAAACTGAGGACTTCACCACAGCTTCTTGGAGTACTTTGTTACTAGTTCCATATTGATCTGCTTGATGTCTATAACAGGTAAACCCAGTAGTTAGTCAAATTCACCTGAGAAAAATTTCTGATTCTGGTTGTACCCCAGGGTGCAGGAGACGCTAGGGACAAAAAAACTAAAGAGCACCATGCAATGACCCTAGCCACTGAAAGCTCAAAACTAACCCTTTCACTTTTACAGTCCAGCATGGTAACACAACAGCCATTGTACCTCCCACAACCCCTTGATAAGATCTAAAATTTATCCCTTATCTCCACAAGTATTTCACAATTGTTAAACGTCCTACCATGCTCCATGTCCACCCATGGAATGCCCTGCAAACACAACTTGGTTTGCATCAGCTTGAGGTCCAATCCATGGAGCATCTTTTGTAAGCTTGGCTAAGCTCCTAAGGGCCATCATAGCTGTAAGCTCTCCAGGCCCCTCCCAGTTATGAGCCCCATGTCTGGTGGGTGCCACAAGCCACAGATGGTCAACACCAAACACCCACTTCCCATTCTCCATGCGTTTGTAGCTGTCAGCCTGATTTTGTGGAGGCACGGCTACAAGAGAAAGGTGAATGTAAAGAAAAATCCCCAACCTTTCAAAAATCCCTGGACCCAACCCTAAAATTATCATAGTCAGAGTATTTACTTAGACCTCTTGATCCTGAGGAAAGAAGGAGAGAAGGGCTGGGGAAAACTGCCTGGATGAAGAGCTCCCACTCCTCACAACACTGCAAGTTCATGCTCAAAGCACATGCAAGAATGCACCAAACGAAGGGCAAATTGCATTTGACTGCATAAAATAGATCTTGCATTTAAACATTTAAACACTCTCTTTTTGCACCTACTTGTACCATGCAGAGTCAGCAGAGCAGGACAGACTCCGGAAGGGCAAGACACCAAGGGAACAATGGCTGCACCATGCTGAACTGAAGCATCATGGTCAAGAAATGTAAACAAAAATGATTGGCTTACTCTGCGGCATCTAAGATTTATCGTAATCTTCTGATCTTGTCCTTTATTGGTGCTAATTTTTAATAAAAGTTTCACATCAGAACAATTGTCGTCATCCAAGTTATATTGCTTTCCATTTTTGTATTCTAGAATGACTTTAATTGGTCGCACTTGCCCAGGAGCTATAGCAAAAGCTTTGTCGTCAGCTGTCAGCCTCACAGAAAACTGGGGATTCGAAGAAGATTCTTTCACTGTAGAAACTTTGGTCACTTTTAGCCAATTAGAGCTATGTAAATTGTTAATGGGAATTGAGATAAATGTTGAGAAGAGCTTTCCATCAACAAGATCAGGTAAAAACGAAGGAGATAAAACTTGGAATGTTTGTTTTGTCTCTAAAAGTTTAATAGTATATGTGAATGCAATGGATCCCTTGGTCCTGAGACGAAGCTTTAGGGTATGTATTCCACGAGATAGTTTAATAGATGACCTACAGAAGAATGGAAGAGTGTCAGATCTCAGCCACATTAATTCAAAATTAAACCCACTTCTCAGACTAACTTTGAGTTAACCCTTTACCTCCCAAGATCTCACTAGTAATTCACCTTACTATCTGCCATATAGTTCTTGTGATGTTGGTTTGGAGAATTTGGTATTGGATCAACTAATAATCTCCTAATTTATATTTTTCTTTATTCTCATCACTTGTCTGCTTGATTTTGTATCGATATTGTAAGGAGAAATTCTTTCTTGGTCACACATAGGAGTTGAAGGGTTAAAACTAGAGGAAAGCACACACTGAGAGTAAAATGTGGTAAGTAAAATTAAAACTGACATTACCATGTGGCACTGAAACTACTACAGAGCTCTAAAATAACTTCCACTTTGTCTTGTCTAACTATAAAAATTATTTCTTTAGCAAAACAATGAAAATGAAGAATTTGTATGTTGAAAAACGGTAATACCATATTTATATGGGACATTTAACCCTTCAACTCCCAGATCAAATTTGTAATTCTCTTTACTGTCAACCATACAATTCTTTTGATGTTAGTTCAGAGAATTCAGCATTGGATCTACCAATTATCCCCAAACTGATATATTTCTTTATTCTCACTACTTGTCTGCTTAATATTGTATTGATACTGTTAGGAGAAATTCTGTCTTCATCACTCATGGGAGTTAAAGGGTTAACTTGAGATCTAAATACTTTGCTAATGATGGTTATGATGGTTATGATGTTGAAACAGTGTCTGCTTACGATAGTGATGATGGTGAAACAGAGTTTGTTTATGCTTAAAATCATTCTTAAGTCTTTTTTAAATGATTAAGAGCAGATTAAACCATTTAACCTCAACATCTATAAGCACATTCTCAAAACTGTTCTCCATTCATTTCATATACAGTTTTAACCCCTAGGAGTGACAAGTATCTAATTTCTCCTTACATTATCAACTTGAAGAAAACATTATGGTCACAAGAATAAAGGAAATGATCACCAACTAAAGAAGCTCTTGATTGTTAAACAAATTCTCCTTGTCAGCACTTAGAAAATGTTTAGAGAACAGTAAGGAGAATATGCATACTGAAGTTAAGTGTAAAGGGTTAATAACCAGTTGCTATTTTAGTTAGTGATCATTTCCTTTTTTCTCATTACCCTGCGATGCTTGTTCAACAGTGATGCTGTAAGGAGAATTTAGGGTTCACAATAACATAATAATAAAATACCAGCTATCTCACCAAAACTGATCTCTTCTGTACACATCTCCTGTCAAGATAGAATCATCAATATATACAGTATGCACTCCAAGGCATTGCACCAGTACTGTGGCATCATCTTCATTGACAAAAAAATCTCCTAGGACCCATCCCTGCCATTCAGTTATTCCCATTGATTGTAAGGACATCACTAAATCATTCCAGTTTACAGGTGGTGCGACAGCTACCGGTTCGGCACCTGTTTTTTGATTGACTTCCATCCACTTTATCTCTCCTCCAGGCACCAGCTCCGAATACAGAAAAAATTTTTTATCCCATCTGTACTGTGAGATATTCTTGATCCCACCATACTCCTCCACAGGATCTCCATCGACCTCTCCCTTGCCAATAACAAATGGTCCAATGAAGTGCCACTTCGGTATAAATTTTGACAATTTTCCCCCTCGCTTTAAAGCTTCCTTGAAGCATGTGTTCGCTGCTTTAGTGTTAGCTTGTAATTTCTGATATGACTCCCCAAGAACACTCCATAAAAAGGCATCATTTGACTCTTTCAAAGCCTTTATAAGGCAAGACATTAGCTGGTCAGTTGATTTCTTGGCTCTAAGTTTCATGATGTGATCTTTTTTGATGTTTTTGCAGGACACTTTCGACCATTGTTTACCTTCCTTTTCCAAGAAATCCCGCGACGACGACGACGAAGTTGAACTCTTTTTCGATTTCGAGCTCAAAGAAAAATCGATAAAAGATATCAAGTTTAAAAAAATAAAAAATTGGGTTAAGTGGCTAATTAACCGCATTTTGAGTCGCTAAGTTAAAAGAAAAAAGAAGACAAAAATAACGCGTGGCGGGGAAATACACAGAGAATGTTGCATTTCGACAAGGCGTTACTTGTTTAGGTTATTCGTAACTACTGGAACTAGTAAACTTTTCCTTATGGGAGGGGAGGCACAGTTTAATAGTTTTTTTTTTTTTCGAATTTAGGGCCAGATACGGCTTATTGTAAACGAATTACGCTGAATTTTCTTATTCTGAAATTAAAAGTGATCTGTTTTACGCAAAGATTAGAATTATCTAGGGTAAGAACTCTGTTGACTTATATTTAGAATTATTATTTGTCGTCACATGTGCAACATGAAAGGACCAATCACAAATCGCATAAACTCCCTCGTGATTAAGCTCAGCTGGTGAGTTCTTCGCGTAATTTTATTTGGGTTCGCTAATGCACGGACATTTCACGCAAACTAAATTATAAACGAGGAGTTCAAATTTGTCTTTATTCACTATGTCGTCACCTCCGAAAGATAAAGATAAAGAATTAAAAGCTGGTCATCCGCCAGCAGGTCTGTTGAAAACTTTCTTCTGAAAACAAATTTGTTATTGGGTCGCGTACATGAAAAGAGACGGTCGCTAAAATTCGCTAATTACGATTTACAAATATTTTGTTATTAAAATCTTTGTAGTTAAAGCAGGAGGAATGAGAATAACTTCAAAGCATCATCAATCTCAGCATCCAGCACCAACACCTGAGGAGAAAGCCGAGGAGGAAGAATTTGCAGAGCCTAAAGAAAAGTGAGTCCCCATATGTGTGTACAAGTTTCGTCCTCTCATGTACAGATACGTGTAACGAATAATTTCCGAAGTTTTGCGTACACCGTACAACTTTCACCAACAATTTTAACGTTTCAACTATACATAATTCATTTCATTGTTCCGAGAAAAGGATTTTTAAAGGTTGTGAAATATTTTTGCGAATTTAACTCGAGCGCTCTCTGTCCCTTCCCCACGTGCCGTGTTTCACGTTTGTTGCGTGACTATTCTGCCAAATTGTTGTTGTGTTGCGTGACAGTTAATTATAGCCATGTTGATAAGTATTTTAAAATTTTCGGCAAATATCTCGCTAAGAACTTAAAAAGTAGTTTTGAGTTTTGGAGCATTTAGCAGACATGTTTCTTCAAGCAGCTAAAATTTGTTCAGCTGAGGCCATGCGTTTGATATGTTTCGATTTTCATAGCCAGACTGACTACTTTGATTTAGAAAAGTGTAGCGAATTCTTGTGTACTTTTCCCTATTTTGTGATGTTGCTTGAAAGTTATATAGTACTTACTTGTTGATGAAAAGAATTAACAATTGTCGAATTTTATTTCAGGGCCTCTGATCAGAAAGTTATTGTTTCAGGGGTATTGACAAAGGGGAATGCAGATTTTAAGGCAGATGCTATTAAGGTGGCTCATGAGAAGCCCATGCCACAACATGAAAAACGACCAGCAGGTGGCGCAGGAAAGACTGCAGCAATGCACATTCAACAACCTAGGAAGCAGTAGAACTTTTAAAATTGAATCTAACCAGAGAAATGAATTATATCGTAGGGTTAGTTTCTGGGTGTCAACTTGTTATAAACAAAAAAATGTTCATGTTTGGTGGCAACTATATTTTTCTTTCCTATTGTTTTATGCAAGACTGCTTTGCATATGTGAGTTCAAATGGTAAATTTGTTCAGTAATTTTCAACCATTTTATCTCATTTCTTTTGTTCTAGCTGGCATTCTGTGATCTGAAACTTAAGACATTTTAAAAACTTTCAAAGTTGTTGACATCTCTGTTATAGACTGTTAAAGTAAGACTTTCTGCACACTTCACTTCATCCAGTTAAATACCAAAGAAAGCTGATGTGTCTCATGAATGCAATTAAAAAAAAATTATTGTTATTCAACTCTTATCCTTTTCTTCAAAATGAGAAAATTAATTGAAGTATGTTGCTGACAAAATGTCTCAATAATTAAATAAATAACTATGAATAAAATTAATAACAATGTGACTCAGTTATTTTTTGCCATATATTACATTTACATGCAAGTTTTTGCCACAGTGTAATAGAGCTATTAGTGATAAGCTATTTTGATTGGCTAAGCACATCAGGAAACACATTCTGAAGGGAAAAATTCCTTTATTTTTTCTCAGAGAAACAAAAATAAATTCAAAATAAAGTATATAATAACACATTCACTCTTTCTCAATTTTTTTTTTCAAATAATAAAACACTTCATTAACTGAGAGTATCAGTTCAGGATATTTACAAAATTTAAAGCTAATGTAACATGACATACATGTTACAAAAATTAAATCTTTGTGTTACAATTCTCCACAAAATTCTGTTATATTTGCAGTGCAATTTCCTGAATGCTCTTTTCAAATCACACAAAAGTAACAAGCAGTCTCATAGGGTTAAGGTTTTTGACAATCAACTTAACAACACAAAATGTGCAAACTCTTTCAACTGGACTGGAGTCTGAAGTTATATGCCAGAAAACAACACCATTAATAACATCCTTTGTATCACTGTCTGCCCTGTTTCTTCACCACTGCATCATGTAATCTGTTGACTTGAGATAAAATAGCAACAAGATTTTCTAAATGGACTATCAAAGCATAAAATTCCTATATGTCTTTCTTGTGTTATATCTCAAACTCAGGACATACACCTTTAATAAATTTCAGAAGTTGTTTCTCAGTATCTCAACCTCAGTTACTTTTAACTTGAGTATGTGCAGAAATGTGATCCTTCCATAATCACTATAAACAACCACAGAACTATCACAATGGTAGACATATTTACTAAATTGCTTGACAAAACTTCTTAAATTTTGTGTAAAGCTTGACAATTGAATTTTGCATATGAAAGTGATGCCCAGCACTGCCTTCACAACTTTGTTGACTAGACTTACTGAAAATCTATTCTGAGTTCTTGCTTTTGTTTCTTTGGTTATTGCATCTAAGTAAGGGTCGGTGATGACAATTTCCTTGCTCCTGGAGCCAGGACTACTGCCCATGGCTAAACCATGGTGCAAGGAGTTTGGACTGTTAATACTTCTCATGCCAGAACTGAAAGGACTGTGTAGGTTTTGACTGATTCTGTCTTTCGGCAACTGAAAGGGAACAAGTGGATACAGCATGTTCATAAGAGATTGAAGATCAGAGCATTCTTTGTCTACTTCATAGAACTATCTGGCTAAATTTTAATAGCCTTGGTTATAGAACAAATCCAAAAAAACTCAGATATAGAGGAGCTATTCTGTACTCTATCAGTCTCCTTTTACTTCACACACACATTCAATACCCTACTAGTGATTAACCCTTTGACTCTTAAAAGTGATCAGCATCTAATTTCTCCCAACAACACTACCTCTGAATCACACATTGAGGTCATGAGAATAAAGGAAATGATCATCAAGTAAAAAACCTCGACTCTGTTGCTCCGACGAAGGACTAACACTTGAAACCTCAGCTTTGAAACTCTTTGCGGTAGCCAATTTACATTATCAGCTGATAAAACCAAATTTATCACTTTAATTTATCTGTGTAAAGCTTGTAGTAGAATAACTTTCAAAGTAAGAAAAAGTTAAGAAGAGATAGCAAGCAATGTTTATTTACTCAATTACTGAAAACCCTTGAGTAGAGAGATACTCCCTGGACTGAGTATTTGCAATTAAAATTGTCTGTGCTGTCAACACTATACTACAACTTAACGCTAGCGGTGACAGTTAATCATGCTTATCAGAATGCAAATATACAAGATTTCCTTGTAATTTGAAAGTAACTAAGTTTTTTTCAGTCGCAGCGAAAGGCAATTTGTAGAATTTAGAGACGTAACAACCTACGCTACTAGTTGAATTCATCAGACTTAAGTCTCATGCACAAAGTTTGCACCGCACTCATGAAACAATCATTGAAGTTTTTCATGTAATCCGTGCATTGTCCTACACAAACGCTCGTAATTTTGAGAGAGAAGTGTAATCCTAAGAAGTATGGTTCAGCTTTGCATTTATCTGCAAAAAAGACGTAACAAAACCAGCAACAAGCGCAAAATCACTGTTTCCTCTGGCCTGAAACATGTCATGTATTTTGTACCTCCGAACTAGAGATTATCTTTTGGTAGTTCATCTCAAAAAGTACTGAAGCTCGTAATTGACTGTTTGTACTCACCAACCAAGACAAATCATTAACATTTCTTTTATCAACGACGTGTTGTCTTCGTAAAGCTTCTTGATGAAGCTGTGACATGGCTTAAACAGCTAAAGTATCAAGATTTACTCCGTAAACGCCACACAACTTAGCAACAATTATTGCTCAAGATCTCTTGCTCGATGTCATTTCGCGGGTGACGTCACATACATCGGTATGGAAAGAATGCACGCGGAGATGGCGTCAAAATTCCCGCGCGCTATTCAAAACTTTCCGCGAATTATTCTGAAAAGGAAGTTTTTGAGCAACATAATTCACAGATTTGTGTGTTTTTTTTGTCATCTGTCAGTCTTTTCCTGAAAAAATGGCCGTACTCTACTACCCTACTTGCTCGAAAGTAGTCGTAAATGTTGAAAAAGAGTCTTAACTTGATCGCTAATATATTTGAATATTTTTCGTCGAAAGGACTAAACGAGTGGCAGATGTCTACCTCAGACAGCTGTCAACCTCAGACGGGGATCAATTCTTGTAAAATCATTCGAACGGTACTTACTTTGATATTACAGTTGTGAATATTACTCTTTTTTTCTTTTCTTTTTTTTTATGTTGAATTAGAGAGAGAAAAACTTATGTAATAGCACCGCTATCTCACTGTCAAAATTCTGAGAATTTTCTAGCTCCTTTTCTTTTCTGTGTTCTATTTTCATTAAAAATGTATTTTTGGCTTTCCAAAAATTGTCTTAGTCGGCTGTAAATTAAAGAAACTTCGGCCATTTTATCAATGTATGTTATGTTTTTAAACATGATAGATCATTGCTAAAATTAGCGAGCTTTCAATCTAACTTCTAAGTGATGTTGACTTGTTACGAAGCGATGAGTCAATGGCTTTGTTTTCAAATACTTATTTCTCGATCATATACACTGGAAAACATGTACAGCTATATGAAAAGAGATATGTGTTAGCATGAGCCTTTAAATTTGGTCTTTGTAACTTCGTGTGATACCTGAAATTCTATGGCAACCGATATACATGGATATCAATCATCTTCAAGTATTAACGTCTTAAATTATGAATGATATTTTTAAAAATGCGGGTTTTCGTTGGACGATTAGCTAATTGTGATTAGCAACTCTCAAGGCGAGCGCCATAGGGATGTAAACTAAACAGTTTAAACAGGGTGTGTTTCAATCATCGAGTCGAATCGGACTTTAGTTAGTCGCAAAGAAGTTGTCTTACAACAGTGATGCAGTTTCCAAGTGAATTCAAGTTATACTCTTATAAAGTGGTCGACAGATTTGTAGCTAGGTTCCTTTATTCTTGCGGTTTTTAGTCATTCCAAATTGTAACTTTCCAACAAATTCTACTTTCATTCAAGATGTCTGACATTGCTTAATAAGTAGCCATGCCGAAGCGAAAAAGTAAGCACAGGGCAGATGATTCTAAAAGTATGGAAGAACAACAAGGTGCTTCCTCGGGAGCCGACAAGTTCAGCTACATTGGACCGGCTACTGAGAAACGTAAGTGAATTGAACATACTTGTCAAAGAGCAGTCATTTGCGGTTGAATGAAGGGTTAAGTTAGGTGCGTAAAGGTTTCGCTCTATGTCTTTGCTGAGACTTCGTCGATTGAAACCGAATGGGTTTCTTTTGTTTACCTTGAAATGACTTATGTTTAAACCTTCTCTCTAAAATATAGTTTTAAAAGAGTCATTGTTTTATTGAAAAGTTATCGAGCGGCAATCTCAAATTTTTTAGTGGTGTTTTTTATATGCAAATGATCGCTTCTCGTCCAACAAAGAGTTGAAAACGCCATTAACTACTGATTAATTATTTAACTTAACGGCTGCATTGATACTTTCGACAAGGAAAACTTAAACCACTATGCATTAACTCAGTTTGACGGGCATTTATTGTGAAGATCGGGACATAGTAGCGCATGAAATTTTTATAGTATGCATATGATATTTTTATCAAGCGATACGAGGACGCCTACTCTACTTTTGAACTGTGATCACGCGCAGATACAAGAAAGACTCCCTGGGTGAAATATTTTGTCGATAAACTGCTTAATCCCAAAGTTACCAAAAATATTTGAAAAGAATTCTATTGAGCAGTGGAACTGTTAAATGACCCCCCGAAGCCTTGCTCGGAAATAATGTCCATGTATTTAATACAAGGTAAGAAATAATTACGCACATACGAAAAAAAAACGGGTGTCTTTTTTTTTTTCTTTTTTTTCTTTCTTCTTCCACGACTGCAGAATAGCTGGAACGATTTTTGTTTTTCAAATTGTTCTGTTTCTGTCAATAATTTTTATATATTGCCGATGCAATATCGTTTTACTGGCAACATTATCCAGTTCCATTTTCATCAAGTTCGTTCGTATGACACAACCTTTTAAAAACCCGTGTAAAGCGTGCGAAGGAAATTTTTTCCGATGGCTTTTTCCAGCATTTCGCTGTCTCCGTGCGTGTATATTTACGTCTTAAGCGACTGAAATACTTCTAGAATCAGAATGGAGGAGCTTTAAAGAGATTTTAAGCCCTGACATTTGCAATTATTGCATACTTGTGATGTTCTTTGAGAAGAAGAGATGACACGGGTTTTAAAGTAAGATTCATGAAGGAAAAATAGTTTTGTCATTGATGATATATGTAAATCTTATGATGGGCTCTAGGAAATAGCTAAGAACACCATATGACGTAAACGTGGACGGCATCGCTTATGTTTACTTTTTAGACTGGTTTCCTTTCATGACTTTTGGCAAAGGGAAAACGTAGTGACTTTTATGTACACTCGGTCGATGAACACGAAGATTATTTATGGACATACACGTGGCATATGCAATGATCGAGAAGCTTGAAACAGCCTAATTGAGTCTGTCGAAAACATTTCTGTTGCACATGTGGTTTACTCTTGTCTTCAATCTCTTAAAATCGTGCGATTTGGACCAACTTTGAACGGTTTCAAATGATTTACTTGAAATTTCTGTAAGTGTACGAATTAGCGCCGTAGGGATTACCTAATATTACTTGGTTGTTCCTTGCTGAAAATGAAGCATTTAAAAGTTCTTGCCTCAGAGTGATTCTATGTCCTTTATATCGGCATATTGTGGAAGAATAATTATAAATTTTGACTTTGTTGCAGCAAATTCGTGTTTTACCAGTTTGTTTTGTTTATTTTGGTTTTCCATTGGTGTTGTTCTTATTTCCTAGCCAAAATCATGATATTATGCCACTAAAACATAAGTACAGAAAAAAAAAAAAGAGAAAACGATTCGGGAAGAGAATTTTGAAGACCAATATGACATATTGCCAAGAGAATAAGTATATGTTCTCTTGTATTGATATCACTTATACTGACGCGACATGACGGCGTTAGAAAAAAAAAGTTATTTCTCGGCAGTGGGCCGTAAGATACAAATAACTGTCCTAACCCTGCCGTTAACGTATTTTTAATACAATGAAATGCTACTTCTCCAGATGAATTTAATTTACGAATATTGGAAAGAATACAAAGTTTTTCTAAGTTAAAATGTCGCTAAATTTTTCATCTTTGTACGTAAACATCCTTTCGAATTTTACGTAATAGGACCGGAAAACTTAGATATTGAATATGAATGAAAATAGAACAACTACGTTTCCTAAATATCGCTTTCGAAGACTGTTCTATCGATAATTCAAGTGAAATAATTGAAGATTTTTGTACTGGTGAACGCAAAACGTGCTCCCTAATCCTTATGAAGGCGCAAAATTTCAAAGAGACTGGGCTCTACTTTTTAGGGACGCCGCGAAATTACTTTATTTTCAATATCAACACAGTTTGTCTGTAATTACCGGCTCGTCTGAATTTAGAATTTATGAGCTGTAGGCTGCACTTTCGGATCCATTTTCCCTGACATTTGATATGAAGTGATTTAAATGATGCCATGGGCAACTGCAGAGCGTTATTGTTCATTCGCAGCTGAGTGTAATTGGTAGAGTATTGAACCGTGGGAACTCATCGTTGCATGAAACTACATTCATCTCTCACAGCTGTGCGATTTTTTACGATTTGCAAGATGGCTGTTGATAATTTATTTCGAAGATGGACCCTTCCCGGGCGATAAACTCAATTAACGAACAGAATACCTTTCCTGGGTCGCTTTTTGCTTATTTTCCGCGGTTTTAAGTACAGATTTGCAAGCTATGGTTGGGTTTTCATTCGCGCGTGAAGAACAGCTTTATGGTGAGATTAGAAATGGCTATTTTTTTAAATTATTATTTGCGATTCAAAGCCGGTCGAGTTCGAATTATCGTACTATCATTCTGTAATTTGCAGCTATGATGGGAAAGAACGCCGATAGTCTTAAAGAACTCGGTCCGCCGACGGATTGGGAATTGGTTGATAGGATCGGGGAAGGTACTTATGGAGAGGTTTTCACAGCAAGGAACAAAATTTCGAGCGAAATAGCAGCGGCGAAGGTTATAGATTCTATTCACGAGAAAGTTGAAGAAGTTCTTCCAGAGCTGGATATCTTGTCAAAGTATTCTACTCATTCAAACATCGCTGAATTTCATGGCGCTTTCATGAACGTCGATACGAAACGACATGATCAATTATGGCTAGTGATGGAGGTTTGTACTTAATATTGCATTGAAAATTAGTGTACAGTAATTAGATATATTTTAGAGGTAATTTCACAGTTTCTCACCCATTTTTTCCCCTGAAGAATGCAGTAATTTTGCTTTTATGTGGATCCGACTCGTTAACAAAAATAGTGTAAAATAAATGAATAATTATGTAGAACGCATACCGGTAGCCAGACTGAATAGTTTAATTAGCGGCCAGGGAATCGAACAAGCTCGTAATTAAGGAGAAAACAACCGTCGGATTACAATTTAGATCTTGCTTAATGCTCTGATTCCTTTGACAGCCACTATCGTTAGTGGAAAATCTCGTAAAATTTTGTCGAGAGAGTTTTTATAACGTATACAAGTTAATGTCTTGAGGTTTTCCTGTTTGTGAAAAAATTATCATACCAAAGGATAACAAATACATCGTGATTTTATCATTTTGCGAGAAACTGTCAAAGACATCATGAACACAGCTTATTTTCATATTCCAAAAGAAATTTGGAAACTTAAAAGTTTCTGGAATTTTACAAAGGAACAATAATTCGCCTAAAAAATAATAAAAAATATATATTTTATACTTTTTCATGTCATCACAGCATCACAGACAGAAAAGAGTCTCAGAACAATTTTTACCTTATATTTAAAATCATGCAGTTATCTTATCCCCTGAGATTGAGACTTTGGGTACTTAAAGTAATGAAATTAGTTCAACCCTAGTAGCTGGTTTGGTCTTTGTTACCAAACTTTGAATTGAAACATTCAAATGTGAGTTTGTTATGGGTCTTTGTTATGGATTCTTGGCCAAGATACTTAACTCAGTACACCCTAACACCATTATAGATATTCTCTATACTGTTCTTTGAGAGGGAGGGGGGAGGCTTTGTTTCATACTCACCTGCATATCAACCAAAACAATCACAGTCTAGATGGCTGACTCTGGTAAAATAATCCACGTGGCTCAGTGGCTGATCTATTTAACCATATAACACCTTTAATATTTAATACTCTGTAGCTATGCCGCGGCGGATCAGTGACAAACCTTGTGAAGAGCTTGAGGAAGAAGGGAAAATATCTTGAAGAAGACCTGATAGCCTACATCCTCTATGAAACTCTAAAGGTTATTAGAGGTTTTTTTTTTGAGAAATATTTTTCTGTTGTTGGTGATTAACCCTTCAACTCCCAGATGTGATTAATAGGTAACTTCTCCCTATAATATCCATTATATACATTATCCAGAAAACATAAATGAGAATACTCAGAGTTATTAGGTAAAAAATCTCCAAATTCTAGTAACTAATTTATAAGGAAATGTGTAGCAGTTAGAAGGGAGAATTTACAATCAGATCTTGAGAGTTGAGGTTGATGGTAAATAAGACATAACCTGTTTCTAGGTGCTTTTACTTTCAATTATTGTTTTCATTTAGGGTGACTTGTTTTAAGTGAAAATAAATCCTTGTTTTCTTGCCTCTCTGATGAGCTTTGCAAACTGATCAGGTGTTGCATTAATGGACTCACATTTTCTTTTTCCAGGGAATTGAACATCTTCATAGGCATAATGTGATGCACAGAGACATCAAAGGCCCTAATGTGATGTTAACAAACAAAGCTGAAATCAGATTAATTGACTTTGGTAAGTGGTGTTGATCAATCAATCAATCAATCAATTAATCAGTCAATTAGACAGTCAGTTGATCTGTTGGCCAGTCAACTGGTTTGGAAGTCAGTCAATCAATCAGACAAACAGGCAGGCAATTGGTTTTGCAGTCAGTGAAACAGTCATTCAGCCAGTCAGTTAGTCAGCTAGTCAGTCAGTTATTCAGCCAGCCAGTCAGTTAGTCATTCAATTAGTTAGTCAGTCAGTCAGCTAGTCAGTCAGCTGGTCAGTTAGTTAGTTAGTCAATCAGTCAGTCAGTCAGTCAGTCAGTCAGTCAGTCAGTCATCCAGTCAGTCAGTCATTTAGCCAGTCAGTTAGTCAGTCAGTCAGTCATCCAGTCAGTCATTTAGTCAGTCAGTCAGTCAATTAGTTAGTCAGTCAGTCAGATAGTCAGTCAGTCAGTCAGTCGGTCACTTAGTCAGTTAGTTAGTCAGTCAGTCAGTTAGTCATCCAGTCAGTCAGTTAGTTAGTCAGTCAGTCAGTCAGTCAGTCAGTCAATTTGATCAGTGAGTGAGTGAGTCAGCCAGTCTCTCATTTAATCAGAGACTTCTATCACTCAATTGTTTCCTTTTGTAACTTTAGAGAACAATGGATCTAGCTGAGTCAAAAATCAATGAAAATTTTATTTCCTTCAGGTGTTTCAGCTGAGCTATCAAACATCCTAATGAGGCGCAACTCATCAGTAGGTACTCCATTTTGGATGGCCCCTGAAGTCATTGCCTGTGAGCAGCAGCTTGACTACAGTTATGATGTCCGCTGTGACATCTGGTCTCTTGGAATTACAGCTATTGAACTTGCAGATGGAAGCACGCCACTCTCTGATCAACATCCTATGCGAGCACTTTTTAAAATTCCTAGGTGAGTTTTTTTCTATTCATTCATTCTATTCCTCGAGTGAAGTGTTAATTGTAAGGTAGATACAGATGTTTTTTTCTTACAAAGTGAGAAACAGCTACATTGATAAAAGAATTCCATTGGAAAATGATAAATGATTTATATATTTAAATTACGAAGTGGCATTGGTATGTGACAGCATATCAGGAAGGTTGCTTCAAATGGGGATTGAAACAAACAAGTGTACTTGTTGTTGGTATCCGTGTAGTGTTAAATTTTTGGATCCGACTCAGAGCTAGATGTATCAAGGTCAGAATGATTTAAAATTATACTTTGGTTACTTTTACCTATACTATTACCTGAACTGATGGTTTGAATTTAGTAAATGCTTACTGAAGAGTAGTCAATTGATTGAATTATTTTAGGAGCAAGTCACCGTCTATGAAAAATCCAGAGAGGTGGTCGCATGAATACAGAGACTTTATTGCAAAGTAAGATTTTTTCCTACTAAGCCATGCATTTATCTTAATTGGTATTACTGTAATTCAGAAATACCTCGTCAGTTTTGCTATGTGGCTGTTTTGGTTGATATATGCAGGTGAGTACGAAACAAAGCCTCCCCCCTCCCTCTCAAAGAGCAGTATAGAGAATAGGTGTATCGGTGTTAGGGTGTGCTGAGTAAAGTATCTTGGCCAAGAACCCATAGCAAAGACCCATAACAAACTCACATTTGAATGTTGCAATTCAGTGGCAATACTGTATGAAGAAGTCAAGTGTAAGTTACTCTAAGGGGTGAAAGGATTAAGTTTATTTTTCATTTGTAATTCTTGCAAGGTAAGGCAAGATTTTTTTTTCCTGACTGCCCTGTTATTGTAAATCATTTTCATGGCAGGACAGTTGTTGTGTTATAAATAAGTAACTTGGTTACAGTTAGTCTGTATTTCCTTATTTTAGGTGCCTGGTGAAAGATTTCGAGGCTAGAGCTCATGCCAGTGAGATGTTGAGTCATGTATTTGTCAGATGGGTAGCGGACAAGAGAGATGCTGTAAGTTAATATATACAATACTTATTGTTAGAAAATTATACCAACTAATACCTATTCAATCATACCAGCTAAACATGTTTTGTTAAAAGGGGTTTAACAAATGAAAAACAGTCAAAACAAACTGAAAAACAGAGTATTCTGTAGAATTCATTCAAGTAATCTGTTGCTTGTATATTCAGTGACTATACCATACATATATTTGATATTGGCCCTATACTTCAAGACAAATTTTGAAACAGAGACATGTTTGTTAATCCCTAGCAAATCTGAGAGCATTCCTAACTGTACAGTAATTATTGACAAATAGACCCTGAATAGCAACAATTTCACAATATTTTCTTTGTTGAATTTATTTTTTTCTCTGCATGAAACTTGCAGGATGTAAAACTTGGTTTGTTTGATAACATTGCAGGTTTTTCTCATAAATAGTTAATGACAAAATTCTTTTTTAACCCTAAAACAGATAGCAGCTACCTGGTTGAACTAAATTTTTTTCAAGATATTCCAATCAGAATAACTGTGAGGATGATAAAGAATGAACATATCAGATATGTGAAAAAACACCATTCCTAGGAAATTTCCAAAAGCTCAAGTCAGATCAGTCACTAATTATGAGCCAGACTAATAATTTGAATCCTAATTTAAAAATGATTTTAGTTCTTAAGTTTGATGATATAAAAAACGATATCGAAACACAGTGAATATGAGGAAATACAGAGGACAAGGATAAAATTTTTGTGCTTAATCTTTGGTGCAAAAATGTTGCAGCTACGTAGAAAGTTGATGAGTTTGATGGATGGGCAGTACCAAGGTCAAGATGGGATTATGGTTGAAGCCACGAAAGAGAGAGATCATGATGAGCTGCCAAGGTATAACTAAAAGATTTAATACAAAGGAGTAATGAACCTCATACTGTTAATTATTAATAGGATAGGGCTCCATTTTGTTTCGTGAAATGTATCCTAAGAATGCAAAATTTTATCTGTCTCAAAAATGGTTTTCAATAGTCAGCTTTTGATTTGATGTTATTGTGCAAAAATGGGGTGAAATGAATTTTTGTTGTTTAAGAATTTAAGGTCAGAATGATTTCAAACCAGTTTGGATTTGTTTGATTTGTATTTTCTTTGTCTAAGGATTCTAGTGATATTCCTGGAACAGAAGACAACCTAATTATTTGAAAATCATGCCAACCTGGAATTCATTTTCTATTAGCCAAAATGAAGTATATAGATTGAAATAGCTTGAATTTTACGAGTCCACTTTTGTTGGAGGTTGACCAAAAAAAATGTGCACTACTAATTAAAAGATGTTTTTAAATTTTTTTTTTTTAATGGTCAGTGTAAACTATGTATGTGTCTTTCTGTTCTTATATTTTAAAATCTTGATACCATAATGTTGGTTTTCACATTCTCTACACTTTTCTCTTTACATTTCCTCTGGTACTGACAAGGAGAATTTGTTTGACAATCAGGAGTATCCCACATCAGAGGTCATTTCCTTTATTCTCATGACCTTTACATTTGATTCATGGGTAAAACTGCAAGGAGAAACTAGAAGCCAGTCACTCTTAGGGGTAAAAGTAATAAACTGAAAATAAACGATAAAGTTAACAGACTTTTTTATGTTTTTACCAGTCCCTCAGCTGCGCAAAAGCAAAAGCCTCAACGTAGCAAACAGATGCAGCAGGTTGATAACCTAGCAGAGTTAGGAAGTCTGACTGAGGTAGGTCTTGTGCGTCCCAAGATCTTACTACCAATTCTCCTTATTGTCTGCAATACAATTCTTATAATTTGAGTTTGGAGAACTTGCCATTGGATCAACTGATAATCCCCTAGTTTATATTTTATTTATTCTCATCACTTGTCTGCTTGATACTGTATTAATATTGTAAGGGGAAATTCTGTCTTGGTCACTCATGGAAGTAAAAGGGTTAAACAACAGTCATCATTGCCTTTCTTTGATCAATATTTTAGATCAAAGCTGTCAACAGTAAGTGTGAAAGTGGGAGACTGGTGGGACTTGTAGTCAGTCAGGTTATGCCAATGCCGTGTTCTTGTGTCAGAATACATACATGTACATGACTGTGAACTATGTCTCAGGCAAACAAAGACTTAAGAGACTTAAGAGTAAATCTGGAGGTTCAATTGATTCACACATCAAATCTTGATACTTGAAAATTATGAATGGTTGCTTTACAAATTTCTTCAGTAGTACAGTGTATCTTGATAGTTGTTTATACAATGATATTTAATCTGTAATAAATTTTATGTGAAAATAAGGTTAAAATACCTTTTTAAACATGGCAGTGGTTAATAGAGTGCCAGTTTATCTGTGTGGTTTTTAGTTAGAAAACACACGAAATCATAAGTTGCCACCTCTGCAATTTTAGAGCAATGTTAGCTGTCAAACTTTTTTTTAGCTTGCAGTCATGACCAATTGAAAATGGTGACTGCAGATTGGAACCCTGTTCTTGAAGAAAACCCAATGTTGAGGCCTTATGTGCTACTTGGGATGATGAAGGTCTAAACTTGAGTATCATGATTGCATTTTTTGATATTGTATCATTTCTTTTGTGGACAGGACATTATTCTCAGCCATCTTCTGGAAAGATATCTAAATAATCAGATATACACGTACATTGGTGACATACTTATAGCTGTTAATCCGCTGCAGACTCTCAACCTGTACGGACCAGAGGTAAGTGTGCAGAAATTTTTCATTACAGTTTTTCAGCTTCCTGCTAATTATTTTGTATCAGTCTTCTCTTCTGATATTTGGAGAACTATATTCAAGGAACCATAATTATTTTCAACTCTACCATTCAAAAATATACTATCATGGTTTGAGACTCCAAAGAGTATAATCCAAGCATTTGAAAATGGTTTTAAATGGATGTGGCCATTTTGGAAAACAACTCAGCCATGCTTGCATAAAAAGCACAACACATGATTTACAAAGAGCCTTCAAATGGTACCTGAAAAATCTGTGGGTTTTGCAAATTTTTTTTTTCTGATCTTGAAATCTCATCAGCTTCTACAGTATATGTGAGTGTCAATAATTAGTCTTATTTACTGTGCAATTAGTTTGTTCAGTTACTGTCAACAGTAATGATATTTAACTGAAAATGTTTAGTCTTGTTGAAGAATTTTGAAACTGAGTCTCCACTGAAGGACGAGCATTGGATTTGACCATTCACTGCCTCCTTTGGTGCACAAAATATTTACCAACTGAAACTGATATAGATTTTGTTCTTTTTCCAGATTGCAAAAAAGTATAAAAACTCCCAGAAGAGTGCTTTGCCACCTCATATTTTCATGGTAGCTGATATGACACACCAGGCTATGATACACAATAAGAACCCTCAGGTTTGAAATACACTCTAAGCTTATTAGCAGCGTATTAAGTAAATTTTTCAAAGATGACAAAATTGCACTTGCTTCGAACTCTAACCCTAACCCGTGGGGTGAGTGCAATTTGTAGTCTTTCAAAAATTTACAAGTGCAATTTTACACCAAATTGCACAAGTAAGCATGTTGGTACTTAATAATTTACATGCCAAATGCATCACACAAAGTCAAGTTGAAATTTTGGCTGCATACATGTGCTATTTGTAATTTGCTCTTGTGTTCCAACTTTGCACTCATGTTACATGAAAAATGCACTTCTTTTCAGCCAATCAGATGTGCATTATTTTTTCATGTACATTATTATACACTTTTGGTTAGGTCATATCAAACCAAGTTTAAGTTTCACTCCTGGATGAGCACCTGCCATCTTACTACAACTTTCCTGTGGTGTCTCAATCTGTTTCAGGTTATCTCCATGATGTTCCAGATAATAACATTTCACTCTTAATAGAATTATATTAAAATTTTGATACCAAATAAAATAGGCCATTTCCAAATTACCTTTGGCCTCATTTTAAAGCAAGTCTTGGTGCTCCTCCTTTCACTTAATTATAAATTTTCATTCAAATGCTAATTAAACTCATTTTCAAATGAATGGTTGAGCACTAGGCCTCATTTTGAAAAAGAGGCTAAAGGTAATTCGGAAATGGCCCATTTCAATGCTACACAAGTACTGGCATTGTGATCATTATTCAAATTTCCATTTTATTCTTAATCACCTGGCAGTGTTGCTTGATTAGCGGGGAGAGTGGAGCAGGCAAAACAGTGTCAGCCGACTACCTTGTGCGACATTTAGCTGAACTTGGAAAGGTTGGTACTCACTGTTGCTACAGTATGATAGTAACAAGTACCATTGTTTACCCTCATTCTCATCAAAACTGTACCAAAGTGCTCGGTTTCAAAAGAAACAATTGTTAATGATTCTTGATTTTTATTTATTATAATTATGATTAGTATGACAAACAATTTTTTTTTGTTAGGCTGGAAACAGAACACTTGAAGAGAAGATCCTTCAGGTGAGAAATACCAGGGCGTGAAATTACCTTTTTTTTCTGATAGCCACTTGGCTCCTAAATTCTTCAAAGTGGTAGCCAATTCAAAAAAAGTTGCTCGCCATTTTCAAAGACAAACAAAATCTTTCTTTACGCTGTTAGCGTTCTAGATAGACCCTCCAAAATTAAGTTAGGGAAAATATCTTTAACGTGCTACAAAGTGGACACTAGGATGTATGATATACAACGTTCAGGCTTATCTAAATCCAAGATGGTGTCTAGTTATCGATCGAGATGCATGTGCTACGTTTTGGAAACAAACTTAATGAGGAAGTTTGCCGCGGATTTATCTTTGCAAATCTTTTTAATTCACTATATCTCTTGGTAAGGTTATGATGAAACGTTCTAGTTGCCAATTTGGCAACTAACTTTCAGGATTTGGTCGCCAAAGTGAAAAATTTAGTCGCATTGGCGCCTGTATTAGGCGCAATTTCACGCCCTGAATTATACATGTTATTTTATACCATTGGAAGAAATCCTATATCCTCCAATTGATCAGCTTCCTTATTCACATCACTTGTTAGCTGCATGATATATTGACATTTTAAGGAGAATTTACATGTGTATCCCTTAATGCAGTTGAAAGGTTAATCCCCCTACTACTAATGTTCCTACATGTACACAACTTAACCCTTTCCATCCCACAATCTCATTTGTTTTTCTACTTATCAGTTCTTATGTTTGTTGAGAGAATATGGTATTGGATGAACTAAAAATCTTCTAATTGATATTTTTCTTTTTTCTCATCACTTGTCTACTTGATATTGTCTTGATATTGTTATGAGAATTTCTGGCATGGTCTCTCATGAAAATGAAAGGATTGAAGGAAGCTGTATGTTTTTTGCCTAACCAGAAGTTGCAAATTTTTGCAGGTCAATCCCCTCATGGAAGCTTTGGGAAATGCACAGACAGTGATCAATGAAAACTCAAGCAGATTCGGAAAATACCTAGAACTCCACTTCACACCTAATGGAGCCCTGAGAGGAGGTACAGTCTATACAGTCTACAATCTGTAGATTGGCAATTGACAATTATAATTATCCCTTTAATTGACTTTATACCATGACCAAAATAATCAGAATGGCCAATTGCAACCATAGAGAATACCACTAAGAGCCAACGAGAACTAAAAGGAGGATAAGTAACTTCCCAAGTGCAAAAAACTGAGAGGGAACAAGTTGTGATAGGTTCTGGGATGGGGCTACTGTTCTTAGCCAGTCACAAGGTATAGCAAAAAGAAAAACTAATGTAATTCTGTCAAGCGGTTACTTTTGACAATCAATTAAAAAATGCATCGTTTATATTACTGGCAAGGATGGCTTTAATTTGCCATTTTGTTAGACTGCCAGTCTGTATGTCAATCATTCAGGCAATCCCCTATGGAGGTTTAAACAGTTATCGTTCAGGAAATGGACTAAGACTGAGACTGTCAGTCTGTTAGTCTGTTGGTCGGTTGGTCCGTCAGTATGTCATATTCTCAGTCGGTCAGTCAGTTAGTCTTAGGAATCTCAGTTTGTAAATTTATCAGTCAGTTGCCAGGCCAATCGTGTCCCAGTTTTTTTCGGTCTATCTCTCAAAAGTTACTTAACTTTATTTTAAGGAATGCTATCTGAGTACCTGTTGGAAAAATCCAGAGTTGTTTCACAATCAAGGTGGGTGGCAATCAAGGAACATTAAGTTTTAGTTTCTTGTTATTTTTGGTCTTTTTGGTAATTTTTTCATTCACTGAGATGCAATTCATTGTTAAAGAAAACTCACCTTCGCAGGTTTTTGACACTGGTATAACATTATCAGCGTTAAACAGAACTTGTCGTAGATTACTTTTCCTCTATTTTATTCTCTTTTTTTTGTAGAGGAGAAAGGAACTTTCACATATTTTATTACATGATCGCTGGTCTGGCATATAACAAGAAACTGGAGAAATATTCCTTCAAGCTTTATTCGCAGCACAAGTAAGTTTTCAAATTGATTTTAAAGAAGTGTTGTGTTAAAGTCTATGAATTACGGACTCCATCTGTGAAACACTCCTCCTCATGAACAGACGTATTCCTTTCCTTACGTGTTTCTATTTAATGTCGTAAAATCAAAACCATGTAAAAATAGCTAGTAAAAACTCAAAGTAAAACAAGCACACTGCCTAAAGCGCGGGAAAACGCGAGTGACCAACATCTGATTGGTTTATAGAGGGTGGCGCGTGTTTTCGTGGCCAATCACAAAATGGTTTCAACAGAGGGTCTAATTCCGAATTACTTCTGTTTTGCTTTACCTCGTCTCGTGATTGGTTCAGAAAACTCAAGCCATTTTCTCTACCAATCATTTTCAAAACTAAAACCAATCGCGACTTGGTCACCAGCGTTTTCCCGCGCTTGAGGCAGGTTGTGCGTTTTTCACTTGAGTTCTTATTGACACTTTCCTTTCGTTCAAGTGGTCGCTGTGATTACTTTGAGTTTGGTTTTACGACACTTCAGCGAAATACGCTCTAAACAAAGTAATGGAATTCCGGATAACTTTTGACACGCAATTGAAAAAAAGTGACAAGCACTTTGTCTTTCGTCTCTCTTTCAGCTACCTCCAAACAGGAGGGCGAAACCTTCAAGACTTGGTATGCACTCTTGGAAACAGACGCAAGTTTGAAGAGGTTCAAAGATGCTTTGACATTATTGGCTTCAGTCATGAGGTGAATAAAACTTGCCCATGAAGTAAAGTGAACTGAAATGAAGGCCTTCCTTCAGATCGATAAGTTTTCTTTAATGTGTGTTGAGACTTTGAAACTCGGAGGACTGTACTTCTGTGCAGTACAATCATTTCAGGTGTCCAGTTCTTCCATACAACACTCGTGTCTAACTGTAAAAATTATGCCCAACTGTCAACCTTTTTTAAAGGAAGTGTCACAGTTGTTTTCAATACTGGCTGCCATCATTCATCTCGGAGACATTCACTTCACGGAAGACGAATCAGTTTCGCATCTGAGCGACAAGAGTATGGTTAGCAATCCTCAAGTTCTACTCATAGGTGTGTATGAATAAAAATAATAATTGCGTTAAGATACTAGTAAAAAAAAATCCCCGTATGTTTAAATTCGATCGTTTATTCTGAACGTCCTGGTGAGGCTAGCCTCTACTTTCACTGAGCACTATCGTCCTTGTGTGAAAGGTCCAGTCCAATGAGGTTTTTTTTTTCGTTGGAGTTCCGTCGAAACGAAACCCAGTGGAAAGCCATGAGGGGGGGGGGGGGGGGGGGGGGTCTGCACCCCTTACCATCAGATCTGTGTTTTTTTGTTTTGTGAGGTATTTAATACTTGCTCGTTGTGCAATATTTCCTCGCTTATTTAGGCTCTGTAGCAAAAATTGTATCAAAGTTTGAACCTCCACCCCCCATCAAAAATTTCTGGACCCGTCCTTTGCCTTTGATAACGACTCTAAAACAACGTGCTGACAACCCGTTAGATTTAAAAAGAGACACACGTGATTGACATCAAGAAACGGGAAACGCCACGTGATCGAGTCTTGATTTGTTGAGGTTTTGACTTCTAGCCTCTGATAACTTGTAACTATGGTAACGCTTTTGCTCCCATCATGGAGCGTTGTCAATCAAGTGCCATTCCGTTAGACTTAAGATGAAACTCGATATCAGTGGTAATACTAACTCTTTTCGAAATTGATTGAAAGTAACAATTTATCTTGTTTCAGTTTCTTCATTGTTGGGGATTAATGCAGTGGAACTCCGAGATGCATTGACAACAAATAGCAATGTAACAAGAGGTACAGCAACTCACTTTTCTGGGAATTTTTCTAAACATTGTAGACCAAGTTTGGTTCCCATCAATTTAAGCCTGCCTTTCTACAGGCTCTCGCGACCCGAGTAGCTCAGTTTCTTTTAGGCCCTGACGAAGGGCTAAAGTCAGCTTCAGAATATCTTTACGATTTGCCAATTTACGTTATCAACTCAGTTGTTAAAACCAAATTTTTCTCATAGTTTTATAATTTCTCTCGAAACTTACCCTTTTTATTTTATGTATAGCTTGAGAACCTCTATATTTAAGGCGCATTTACCTCCCAGATGTTTGCTATTGTTTCACTTTGCTGATCAATTATATTCATGTAAACTTATTTGTCTCTCATCTCCAGGAGAGACTATAGTTAGGAACAACTCTGTCGATCAAGCAGTTGATTATCGCGACGGAATGGCTAAAGTAAGTTTGCCAATTGATGGAATTGTTTCCGCTTGTTCCCTAAAGGGTGGGATTCGTTAGCAGAGTAGGCAACTTTTCTTCTTGTGCTTCTTGACACTTTTCTTCTTCTTATGAAAAATAGAATTCCCCTCCTGACCGATGAACCTTACTATGAAGCTTCTGATTTCCCAGAAATCCTGCGGGGTTGTGATATGTTCATTTAATTACTAGTTTAATTGTCACTCTTCGCTAAGCTTTGTAGTTGCGCTGAATAAAGTAGTGCGAGCCGAAGAAGAACTTTGGCTGCAAAAAGAGCGAGAGATTTGTGGACGAAAGGCGGAAAGATATGTAACGAATGTAAAGTACGAGAAAACATTTACCATTGGTCAGAGTGGATGCACTTGTCACGAGTGCGAAATCATGAATCCATCAGAAAGCGCGGGAAAAACAGTCACCGTTGCAAGCGCTGGAGAACATGAAACCAACGGAAAGCGCGCGAAAATCTTATATGAGTTGAAAGGGTAATTTCTTGTAAACGCGTTACTTCTGGAAAAGGTGTAAATTCGAAACTAGACTAATATAGATATTGCAATGTTTTTGTCAGATGGGGTCTAAATTTACAAGATTAAGCCGCTTTATCTTAAATATGCAGACTTTTTTACAGCACTTGATCTTTTTGTGAACAAGGAAATTCCTTCTTCACCGATACACCCTACACCACACTACGTAAAATCCTTCAGAATCTCACGAGCTTTCACTATTTTGGTTTTTCAGGCACTGTACGGCAAGCTATTTAGTTGGATTGTTCACCGAATAAACGCTCTATTGAGGACAGAGAGAGCACGGCTAGTGTAAGTATCTAACACGCACTTTTCTTCCTTCTCTTTTTTTTTTACGTTCTTTTTACTTCTGTTTTACTTTTTTCCATGTTTTGTTGTAGCTTGGAGAAAATATTTGCCTTCGTTTTACTCTGCAGGGAAAACGATTACAGAATAGGAATACTAGATATCTTTGGTTTTGAAAATTTCAAACGCAATTCGTTTGAACAGCTGTGCATAAACATTGCTAATGAGCAGATCCAATTCTACTTCAACCAGCAAATTTTCTCATGGGAGTTGGTAAGTTTGTCGCAGTTTTTGGCTTGGCTTACGAGAAATTGTTCAGGATATCTTCGTAATATTCGAGGTTATGTCGACGTTATTACAACGTTAAGCTTTGATGCGTTGCTGTGGTTTCAGCGAATATACCAGTTATAAGCCGAAGAGGGCAAGTACGCACAAAATAGCGTTGGATAATGAATTATTGTTTTAAAAAGTGGGACGATATGTGCCATCGTCAAGTCTGGGACTACGTGTTAATAGTAGTGAAAGCCAGAAAACATTTAACTATTAGTAAGAGCGGTTTAAAAGTGTATTTGTTAGAAAGCGCTGAACTACGTTTAACCATTGGGAAGCATGGTAAAATCCGCGAGGAGGAATCATCGGCAAGTCCAGGAAAACATGCTTCATTTAGAAAATGCGAAAGTTATGTACTTGCTTATGTTACTTACATTATTTACACTACAGATATAAATTCCCGGGAGGAAGGAGGGGGGAGGGGTAATTTTTGCCGTTTAATTTTTGGGGTTTAATTTCTGTCTCAGAAACTCCTACCCTGTTATAGTCTATTTTTCGGCCAATTACGGTAACAACTTTTTAATCGCAAATCTTCCCAATTTTGAATTTCTACTTACCAGATTTTTCTTACCCAAAAAAATCCCAAAAATGTGCGACCGCATATCAGTAACTCTATTTAAAATGTAACCCCATCATAGTGGATCCAGTTGTGAAAATGCAACTCATCCAGCGGCAAATCCTCATTAGTCTTTCACCCGGAAGTACCCCCTTCATTTCCTCTCCTTCCCCCCCCCCCGGTGTTACTTACAACGCTAGCATTATTTGCAGCACTAACTTTACTTACCATACTAACATTGATTACAACATTGATACCGTTTACTCACCAAAGATAGATAGAGAATTTAAATTATGTGCTCGTCTTGAATTCTGTGGTGTTGTGATTGAAATGTTTCAGGAGGAATACCGCTCTGAAGGGATATCTCTTGAACGGATCTCATTCACTGACAACCGACCTGTTCTGGATATGTTTCTGCAGGTAATTTGTTATTAGTGGCTAATAACAATATTCTAGTAATAACTATTCTACCGGCTTAAAATCCGGTGAATGATTTCGTTATGTCGCATGAAGAATTTCCGAAAAGATTTTGGTGGATGTTGATCAATTAGGAAACTTAACGAACACTGATTAGTCTCCCGGATGTTGTAACGTCAGCTAGTTATCCTCTGTAAAGGTTACTTCTCGGCGAAGGGCTTGCATTTCGGTCGAGTGTCGTTAAACCAAAACTTACGTAAAAAGGACCACCACCGATCAGCGGAAAGCTGAGCGAGTGAACAAGTCGCATATGGTTTTATTTTCTGGATCTGATTGGTTGAGAGGATGACGTGATCTTTGTGGACCAATCGTAAAGCGAGGTAAAGCGAGGTAAAGCGAGGTAAAACAAAGCTAAAGCAATCATGATGGTGTGCACAAAAAGGCAGAGAACACCCCATTTTATGATTTTACTCTATTTCTTCTAGAAACCCATCGGTGTGCTCGCTCTGTTAGACGAGGAAAGTCGTTTTCCAAGAGCTACAGACTTCACACTCGTGGGTGAGCTAAGCTAAGCAAGTCTTACCATAGAAGTTATCTACTTTATTTAATCTTGCGATCGATCGTCTTATTCCTAGTAAATACCCGTTATCCCAGTCATTCGATCTTTTCGATGCGGTCGAATGAGAAGCACTCAAATGTAAGATCCATGTTTACTTTTCCACAGAAAAATTCAACAAGAACATTGATTGTGTACACTACGAGCAACCGAAAGAGAATGATGTTTTTCCTTCGTTTGTCATTGCACATTATGCTGGGCGGGTAGGTGTTCAATGACTGTATGTGGCATTCTTTCTCATTCTTTCTCACAATAACACATTTCTAGAGCCTGGCTTTCACTAGCGAAGCATACACAAACGGAAACATAACGTCTCCTATTTCACCGCGAAAACTGCCTCGACGCAAGCACAAACGCTAGAACAAGACAGAGGAAAAATTATGACCCTTGTGCTCTTGTGCTTGTGCTTGCGTCTACGCCGTTTTCAAGGTGAAATAACAAGTGCTATCTCTGCGTTTGTGCTTGCGGTGTTAATGAAAACCAAGCTGCAATGAAAGACGTTATTCCTTATTCATTCGAATCAGACTTGGAGATTTACGCAAGGTGTGTGATTATTTTTAAGGTGAAATATGATGCAACCAACTTTCTGGAAAAGAACCGCGACACTCTCTCTCCCGACATCATACAAGTGTTGAGATCAAGCGGTAAGGACTCAGCCTTAATGAATGAGCAAACAAAGAAACGAAATAAAGAGAATGAGTAGGAAAAAGATTTAGGACCATCTTGAACTGTTTGTCTGGCGAGGCCCAATAATAGTTGCGTAGAAAACTGCTTTGGTGTGCGTAATAGTTTAAATTGATTCTCCTCATTTTTTTAACAGATAACCGCCTCGTGCGCACGCTCATGCAGCATCCATTGGCCCGATTAGGTTTGTTACTTTAGTCTGGATAGTACCTGTTTATGAGAAAAAGTAAACGCGTGCGCTTGGTACCTGGCGCGCTGGTTCCCGGATCGAGAGAACTGTGTTCGAGACCAGATCGGTATATTGTGTCGTGTTTTGTTTTTTTCTTTTTTCGGGGGAAGGGACACCCTTCTCTTCACAGTGTCTCTCTCCACCCGGGTTTATGAATAGGTTCGCTGAAATGTGCGAGAAATTTGAAAAAACTTTTATGGGTATCCTGCGATGGACTTGCATCTCACCCAGGTTGAGTGGAGGGTTAGGAATACTCTTTGTCGCTAAATGTTACGGGAACTGGGATAAAATCCCACAGAAATATATAGCCCAAGAGGTTTATAAGACTTACTTACCATAACCTTTCCTCTCTTTTAGTAAACTCTACCAACTGCTCTTGATATTCTAAGTTTCAACCTTTTTTAAACTGCAAAGACTTGTATCTTTATCTACGACAGTTTCCACTCCACTGCTCTCCATTCTTGTTTCTTTCTTTTGAACTTAATTTCTCTCACCTTTGCCATAAATGTTCTAAATAAATGAAAGTTCCCATTAGCTCTGTCTGAATGGTACATATTGCAATATACTTTTATATTTCATCTCTGTCTCTCTGTCTTGTACCCATTTAACAGTTTATGATCAAGCGAGTTTGTGGTGTTCTTTCACGAAGTTCGTGATACAATGTTTTACTTGAATTTCCATGGATTTCTACTCTACGTCTATCCACAATTTATACTGAATTAATCTATTCTCAAACCACCCCCTCGTTGCTGATTCTTCCTTAAGTTCTCTGGAGGTGTTATTTCTGGCCGATGTGATTTCTTCCAAACTTGCTCTCTGTGTGTTCTACCTTTCTCATCCATTTTTGTACCCAGAGTTCTCTCATTCTGACGATGGCGCACACACCTTGGACCCCCACTGGTGGAGGGTGAACAAACCTTCCCCTGGGGTCACGGACGCCATGTTAGATCACAGACCTAAAGAAAGCTGGCTAAAGGGAATTTTCAAAATGAAATTGAAGAGTCACGGTAAGATTGCGTGACGCCCGCTATCTATCAAAGGCGCGTGGAAAGGCGAAAAAAAAGCAGATGTCTGCTGCTGTTTCGTCGCGGTACAGCCGCTTATCATTAATCAATGCGTGCATGGAATTCTAATGTTCTTATTAAGTTGTCTCTTCGTGTCCGTGTCCATCTTTTGTTGTCTACCTCTCTGGCTTATTTTAATCTTTCCTTCCCACTCAAAATATCCTCTTCCCGCTGTTTGCCTACTCTTGAACTGTCTTGAAGTCATAAGCGCTTCCAGTGAATCCAATCGGTCCGTCTCCCTCAAGACCGACGTGCTTCATAGCTATTCAAAGTGAAATGTTGAATTTGGAAGCGACTTGTTCCCCTCTCCGGAGGGTTTATAATTCCCGTTGTCTATAATTGGCCTATCTTTCCTCTATCCTGGTTCCCGACTCTCTCGTCGACATTTGCCACATAATTTTGATTCAGCTCTTTGCTTAAACACATTATCACTCATAATTTGTTTAATCCAAAACCCAATCATGTTGTTTGAAGGTACCTTAAGAGGTTTTATATGTCATTTTTTTTGTTCTTCTTTCATCAGGTGTAAGCGTGAAGAAAAACAGTTCTCAGCCTCCCATGTTCCAGGTGGAGAAAGACAAGGTGTGAGGATAGATAGATTTTACTTTCTTTGATCGTTGATTCTGGAATATTTAATCGATTACTGGTTAGTCGATCGATCGTCCGTTTATTTGGTCAAGTCAGGAAACCAGTCAGTCTCTCTTTCTGTTCATTGGCGTCAATTAGCTAGTCTGATTGCAGTTTCTTCTCATGCAGTCCTTTCTGGTCTTCTTTTGAATCCTGCAATCAAATAACAACCAGTTGACATATGGCCGTACGGCTCCACGCGCACAATCTCATGATAACTTGTATTTCCCATTCTGCCGCTAACCTTTTCATAGCATGTCAATTGTACACATTTCGTAATTTTTATCCATCGGTTGTGTCGAGAGAAATTGAACTTACAAAAGCAGTACTGATAGATTAGCTGTCAATTGAGTCTCAAAAACTTAAAATCGAGGTAATCACCTCCACCAATCATAAGAAAGGTGTACATTAGCCATTACATCATTATTAGCCAACGAGAACGCGAGTAAAGATAGGCGAACTACCAAAAGCGCGGGAAAACACCGGTGACCAGGTCATGATTGGAATAGAGGTTAGCGCGAATTTTCCAGACCTTTCACAAAGCTAAGTAAAGCAAAACAAAGTCATCCCAATTACTGTTGACTCAATCGAAAATTGAAAATATTTCATTAGTTGTGTCAACAAAAATCGAACTGACCGAAGCAATCCCATTATGCTCCCACAGAAACTGAACGGTCTTCTGAGCTTGCCAGAAACCAAGCAGAGTCCTCTATTAGAATCTAACACCACATCTCGATGGCAACAAACAGTCTCTGTTCACTTCAGGGTGAGTACATGATTTACAGTCATTTCCTGATAGCGCATGCGTGAATCATTTCTTCGCATATCATCCACAAGTGACTTACAGCTAATTTTCAGTTACTTTTTTTTTCCTTTCTTCTACAGTATTCACTTCGTGATTTGCTAGCAAAACTTTTACCCGCGGAATCTCACTTTGTGCGGTAAGTTAATGGTAAACATTTTGGGAAAGTGCATGAAAGAGATATTTGAAAACAAAAGAAGCAAGAATTGTCAAAGCCATTTTTCCAGGTAGCGATTTTTCCTTGAATAGTGTTCATTTCAAAGAAAAATTGTGCGTTGTTTACATAAGCAGTGAGGATGCGATAAAGACGCTTTTCGAGGACAATCCGCTGCAGTAGACTCTCCATTTAATCTTTCAGTTCCCCCTAGTAGCAGCCGTAAATTTTCTTTGCAAATTAAAGGAGAGAATGTGGTGTTTTATCACGATATTGCACTTCAGCAGATAAGTTTGTCAACTCTCATCACTTGCTTGTAAGGTGATATATGGATTTTGTTTGGAGAAGTTACAGATCGATCACGTCAGGGGGTCAGAGGGTTCACTCTGAACAAATTCCATGACAAGGCTAGCTAACAAGGACAAAATTGCCATTTATTTCCATTTTATTTGCTAATGGTAACTCTTGAACAAAAACGTTTTCATTGAAAAACTTGCTGGCTTTAAGTCGGCCTATCGATGTCAAAGATGTTCAAACGTGACTCCAAAAAAATGAGCTTAGATTCACTTTATGCTCACGTCATACAGAAGGTTTTTTAAGTTAAACGTACATTTTGTATTATTGATAGGTGTATCAGACCAAATGAACAGATGATTGCGGGCAGATTTGACCAGGAAAAGGTCCAAACCCAACTCAGATACACTGGTGTGTTAGAAACCACCAGAATTCGTCAGCAGGTTGGTTCCTCTGTTAATCTTCGTTTTGATGTTATTTCTTTTATGCGACTCACGTTTTTATATTTAAAACTGTTTTAGGGATATTCGGAGAGAATCACGTTTGCAGAATTCGTGAAAAGGTACGTCTGTCTGTTAAGATGCCTGGAAGGGTGATTTTCAATTGAGTTTCGAAATCCATCTGATATTACTTTGGTTTCAGTCTATTACGATCTTTTGTTGATATACAAATTACAAGCTCTTTTCTGCAACTGGCAGTTGACGTGAGAGGTTAACTTCATTGTCTCAACAGAGAAAAAAGAAGTTTTATTATAGAAAGTGGTTGGACTCAATTGTTGTTTACTACTTGTGATAGTTCTTTTTCGATTCAGCAGCAAAATCTGATTAGCCAGGAGTACCTAGACCCGAACTATAAAACTATACGATCTTAATTTAAACATATCCTTATTCTTGTAGATACCAAGTGATTGCCTACCCCCTGCACAAGAGAGCGCCATGTGACGCTGCGGCCTGTACAGAGATCTTGAGAAAAAGTGAAATACAAAACTGGCTCATCGGGCGAACGAAAGTGTTCCTCAAATATTATCATGTAGAGGAGCTTGCTATGCTTCTGGAAATATACAGGAAGAAGGTTATTACTATACAGAGAGGTTAGTTTTGCATTGCAAAACGTTACTTTATAGGTTGGGCATGTTAGTGGGCGATTTCGTCATGTCCTCACTACTTACATTTTTCTTTATTAGCCGTCAAACGGCTTTGCTCATAAAACGCGTCGCAATAGAAAAGTTTTCGATTGAGTGTGAAAAGGATTGCATTGCCTCGCGGAGTTTCTGTCTTTAAGATCTTGAATAATATGCCTTCTTTTCATTTTTTTTTATTTACAGTCGTCCGAGGGTGGTTAGTTCGCAGACAGTATGAGTCAGTCAGGCGGCGAAGACATCAGGCAGCAACAGTCATTCAGAAACGTAAGTCCTCTTTCTACTTTGGGAAAATATAGGTGAGATAGATGTGCGCTCAAAGCTTCATCAGTTGTTACAAGTTCAGGCTTCATTTGCTATTATTTACTCGCCCGCCAAAACTGAAAGGAAGAAAAGTATTCAAAATGTTTTAAGTAGATTCAAATTCGTTGAGGACACTTGTGAATTTAATTAAAGAGCGCTTGAAGAATATTTGTAAAACGAGGATGAGAGTGTGAACCTTTAGATCAAAGTTTCGCAAATCTTCCTTCACACTTGTTTACTCACGTTTAGTGTCGTAAACTCTTCCCGGAGTGTGTATGAATTCTCTGAGACTATCCCAGCTTTCTGTAGCTTCTGTTAACTCAGCTTAGCTCTTGAAGCCTTCGCGTGCTCGTGTAATTCCTCTAGAACTAATTCAGAGTTCAAAAACATTCTTTTCTTGACACTTTTTTAACTATTTTATTCTTGGTTAACAAAGGTAAAAACGTGACACAGGTAGCGTTTGTCTGATTTATTAGAGAATATGTTGTTCGCAGAAGAAAAGACCGTGTGTCGGAAATTGAGATAAAGAAATATCAAAGAACCGTTCCAGCGTTAGTTAACTAACAAATCATTCATTGCGCGGTTACTTGATAGATTCGCGTGGTTACCTAGCCAGGAAGCATCATCAACAGGAAATGAATAAGAAACACTTTGCAGCTTGCGTCATTCAGAGAGGTGAGCCTCGAAATGATGTGAAAACCGTCATGTTGCTAGATATCCTTCTCATTGTATATTTTTTTCTCAAAAGAGCTTTCAACTGTTTCCCAAACGTATGTGAGGTAGCATATCGCAGAGTAAAGGAAACTGCTTTTGCTATTGTCCTCTAAGCTTCGCTTTGAAGCTGATTGTAAACAACACTTTGTGACTAACTTGTTTGTAAAAATCTCTCTTTGTAGCTTATCGTCGTCTGGTTCAACGAAGAAGATTCACTTGGTGGCTGAAATGGTACAATGTTCAACAGAGAAGAAAAGTCAAAAGTGCCATCAAAATACAAGCTGGTAAATTACCTTCTTGAACATAACACCATCTAGCTGATATGTCTTTTTATTCTCATTACCGTTTCCGGAATAATTTCAAGATATTGCAAGGAGACTTAACAAGTCGATCGCTCCTGGGAGTTAGAGAATTAGAAGAGTTACTGCAATCCGTTTCAATCTTTGCCATCCTTGGCTATCCTTGTTTGTTCTAGGTTTATTTCTGCCGATTTTTTGGTTTTCTTTCCTTGTAAAAAGTATATTTTATGAACCTTTCAAATTGGACTTACTTTTGAAAGTCACAACTGGAAAATGAGTCAAAATATTGTGGTGTAGGGTAGTGTATGTCTTGTTTGTTGTGTCAGTCGCTACACGAGAAATTTGGTTGCATACCATGTTTAGAATTAAAAAAACAACAGCCATAACGACTTCTTTACAGTAGATGTCTACGGGAAGGAAGAGGAATCCACAGATATAGCAGCGATTGAACTTTGATTGATAAAAATTTGGTAAGATTTTCTTTGACGTCTCTTCACAGTGGTGCGTGGTTATCTAGCGAGGAAACACTATCGGCGCCTGCGTCGACTGAGAATCGAAAGTGCCATCAAACTCCAAGCGGGTAAATAGTCATTAGATTTTTGTCGTAGTCTTGGAGACGTACTGGGAAGCAACGAAGAAGAAAGATTTTTTATTTTACTTTTCGAAATATGACTAAAAAGCCATAATTTTAGGGACAGCAAATATGTAAAAGAGCTCTGCCGAGGGAGACTTGCTATCGATCGCTAAATGTCTTGAAAGAATAATCGATTGAAGAAGTGATTAACATTAAGTGGAAACTTTATTCTAGGGGCATTATTGTGAGGGAGGGGAAGGGGTAGGGAAGGGGGAGTTTTTTCAGTGTAATATTGTATATCATCTTTTTTTTTACAGTGTATCGTGGGCGCCTCCTGAGAAAGAACTACGCAGATATTAGAAGGAAACAGAAAGTGTTAAAATTTCGACATAGTAAGGCTTTACATTGTTTTATGTGAGAGACTATTTTTTCTTAATTATTTCAAGTGGCCGCGTCACGTTTGTAAGAAGATGATGGGAATGCAATGATGTTGAATGACCCTGTTTGTTCGAGAAGCGGCGCACTGAATTGAAAAGCTTGGGTCCGGACTCTGGTAGTGTCTTTGTGTCTTTTCTTGGGAAAGACCCTATCCTGTTCAGAACCTTTCTCCCCCGGTGTACAATTGGATAGTGGTGAAGAAGCCACGGGAAATCTGACGGGATTCTGGGGGGAACCCAGGTTGACCAGTATCATTGAAGCTGAATCGATAAACCTCTGCAATGATACGGGTCAGTCGTATGTGGATTTAACCTTCAATGCAATTGTAGCAATACACTTTCCAACGCGTGCTCATCTCAAATCTTCAATCATTTCAAATTTCTTTTGTTTCAACAGTGGCCAAGGTTAGAGCAGTGGTTCGGCTTCAGTCAGGTGAGCGAAAAACTTGAAAGGGGCCCTAAGTATTCCTTTAAAAAACCTTCTCAGGTTTTTTTTTTACCGTTTATTTCGTAAACATTATCAGAAATTTTAGGAAGTGCATTCAATGTTACAAATGTTGATTTTATAATTTTCATTTCCTTTTCAGCGTTTCGTGGTTATAAAGCCCGCAAATACGTTTCCGAGCTAAAATCAGAAGCAGATAAAAGGGAAACAAATATGATTTACTTCTTCCAACAAGTAAGAAATTTTAAACTCCATCTGGAGATATTTCCACTTTTAATCCGAAGCAAGTATGTATTGAACAATTGGCCCCGCAGCCAACTTTATTTAGAGACTGTTGTCTTGTGTTCATTCCAGGTGGAAGATTCGTCGGACAGTTTTTTCAGAGCCCAGAAGGGTCATAAGAGGGTGAGAGGATTTTACTATCTTTTATTTGCCTCTGTCCTTAGTCACTAGTAACATTCAACTTTCAACTTCTTAACATGCTTTTGGTTGGTTTTCATTGCAGGCGAATATCAAAATGGACCGTGTTGTAGTCAAAGGTTTGTTTTGTGAACTGAAAAATTTATCTTTTATCGCTCTCCATAGCTTTACTGTTCGTCAACATGTTTATTATTATTATTATTATTATTATTATTATTATTATTATTATTATTATTATCATCAGTAATATTATCATCCTTATCTCACCATCATCATCATTTCCATTGTTATCATTATTATGGTTGTTATTATCATAAATATTATATTTTTATCATTATTGTTTTTAGTTTTGTTAGTATCATGACTTTTATTATTATATATTTATATGTGGGCTTTTTGTTGGTCAACAGAAGGAAAGCACCAGGACCCTACAGAGTTCTGGTCAACCCCGAAAGAAGACGAAGAAGCAGTGGCCTCGCAGCAAGAGACGCAGACTATTTTCTTCATCCAACAGGTGGGGACGATGGTTTAGACCAGTCATCTCAAAACTCTGAAATAAACTAACCCTTTGGCAATCCCGCCATAGAGTTCAGAAATTGCGTTCATATCATGATGTCGGTCTAACGTGATGTTTGTTTTGCTCCTACTAAGGCAAATACGTCGTGGGCAACTCTACTGGATCACTCCAAAAAACACCAAACCTCAGTACCACGCGGCCCACAGGTAGGACTTACTAACAACCTCAGGTAAAAGTAGGGTTCACGTGGGTCCTGGAAAAAACCTGGAAAGTCCTGGAATTTTATTTTCAGTCCTGGAAAAAAATAAGCAGGTCCAGGAAAGTCTTGGAAATCTACCTGCTTCAAGCAATAAAGTATTCCGAATTTATGTTTTAAGAAATGTGTGTCGACCGTAAAGAGAATTGATTTTAATACCTTGGTTAATAGTGAAATTTGGAGTCCTGAAAAAATCCATCTGAGTCCCGGAAAAGTCCTTGAAATTTTTTTTGCGACAATTGGTACGAACACTCTTAGAGGTACAGTAGTAAAGCTAATCCCCCCTTGAACGGGATGCCCGTCCATTTCAGGTTGATCTCCCCTACCCCCATCCTCCTAGCATTTCGTTAGGTTTCTTGTGTGTATCAGCAAATTGTCACCGACCTGGAGAAGGGTGGAGAGGTTGGGGAAAGAAATATTACCCTTCGTTCATGCAACAGAAACCGGTTTGAACTAAGGTAGTATGACTAACATCAAATGCTCAGAATATATTTCTCACTTCTTAATCGTTTATCGCAGAGTCAAGTGAGACCACCTATGCGCAAACATGACCAGGCCCCTGCCAGCGATTCCCCTCGTGTACCGAAAAGAAGAAGTTTTGAAATTCGGCCAAGTAAGTTATCGTTCCGTTTTTGTTAATTCTACGGAATATTAGCGGAGCTCGCAGAGCGTAGCCCCATAATTATACAAAATAGTAGTAACCCATCAAGCCGAAAAAATTTGGATGTACGACCGTACAAGGTGCTACTTTTAACATGCGTGGTCAACTGTACCGCGGGCACGCCAACGCCACGACTTTGTTCAGTAGTCCAGTGGTCAGTGCACTGGGCTCCGAGTCGGACGACGCGGACTCTAGGCCTGGCCGTGGCAAGGCGTTGTGCCCTTGAGACGTGCGGGAAAAAAAATGCGAGCTCCGCTTTTAGGCTTGGCTAACTCTATATATTATGCTGGGACGAAGGTGTAGCTGGGGCAAGCTTTTTGATGTGTTCTATTAACGATGCACGTTGGTGAAATATACGCGCGCAAATAAAGATTGACCGGGCAACATGTACCTGCTTTAGATGTGCCCGTGTCATTTCCTTCAGTGTGTGCCGACCTGATGGAATTTATGTTGCGATAGTTTGAGTCAGTTTAACTTGAAGGGGACTACAGAGTGATAGCTAAGTAAGATAGGAAAGAACAAAAAAAGTTGAGAGGGAATAAGGATAGGTAAGGAATAAAAAGATTAAACGGATGCGCGAACTAGGGCATACACTGTAGCTTATTCAAGTAAGCGCTGTGTCTCTTCGAAAGAGCTGATCGTTCCGTTTTAATCCTGTCCCGAACCGCCGTTAACTCTTCAACTCCCAAGGTCTACTTGTTAATTCTCCCCTCCAGCTGCTACACATTTCCTTGTAAATTAGTTACAAGAATTTGGTGTTAGGTCAAGATAACAAACTTAACCAGATAAGTTTGAGTGTTCTCATTATCTGTTTACTGGATAATGTATGGATGTTAAAGGGAGACGTTACATGTTCGTCACTACTGGGAGTTTAAGGGTTAAACTTGTCTTGGTCAATCACTAGTGATTCAGTTGGTACAGTATCGAGTTTCGTTGTGAGAAAGAGTTGGTGTCAACAAAGCGTGTGTTTTTTTCCTTCTAGAAGAAGTCTTGTTAGCTGAGATGCAGAATAAGGAGTCGCCACGAAGTAGTCGCAATTACAGGTTTGTAAACACGATAAAGGACACCAAAAGACGTCTCTCTTTTGTGCACACTGTAGGACTAATCTCCAATTGAGCGTTGAAAGTAACCTGAAATTGCTTTATTTTTTCCTTCCTTTGTTCTGTGATTGGTCGAGTAAACTCATATGACTTCCTCAACTTGTCAGATGCAAGATGACTTGGTCACTCTTGTTTTCCTGCGCTTCAGGCAAGTTGCATATTTTTACGAAGAGATCTCCCAGGCTTCTTATGATATTTTACCTCGTTTTAACCCATTTCCCCCGCAGAGTGACGTGGCATTTAATTCCTCCTTACCCTAATCACACGTTAAGGTCACAGGAATAAAGGAAATTACCACCAAGTAAACAATCTCTTGATTGTAATCAAATTCTCCTTGTCAGCACCTTGGGAAATGTATGAACAGTATGGAGAATATGCATACTGATGGTAGGGTGTAAAGCGGTAACTGACAGTACTGGGTACTCTGGTTGTGGCAGTTCAAGGCCCAAGTAGAAAGCGCTCTATTTGGTCAGCGTCCGCCATCTTGGCTCGACTGCACGTGTGCATCTTATCTGAAATAAGATCACTGTGAAATAAGTTCATTTCAGCATAGGAAATACCATTTGTTGTCCGTTTATAATGCAGACATCCATTCATTTCACAGGAAAGAGGTTTGGTCTGCGGGAGACGAAACGTACTTTAGGCAGTTTGCGGTAAGTTTTCTTTTCGTCAACCTCAGCAATTAATACATCACCCTCCTTAAATTGGGTCAATTTTGTAACTGATGCAAGATTCTTTTATCGAGCACAATTATAAGAAAATTGTTTAATGCTTGTTAGAAACCGTTCTTAAAATATTGTTTGAAGCGTGCAGCGTCTAATTAAGATATCTTTGCGTCGTTTCATTCCAGGATGAAAGATTGAAGAAAGATTCTAAAGGTAAGCCACTCAACTCAAGGGTTAGTTTCAAAAGAAACTGTGAGGCTACTTTAGTAGAGGATAATGTAAAATAATTTGGTATTATCAACTGAGTTGATACTATAATTTGGCCATTGTAAGACGTTTTAAAAGCTAACGTTTCGAGCGTCAGCCATTCATCAGAGCGAGGCTCGAAATGCCAGCTTTACACTCTTTAGGGTGGCCAATTTACATTATCAACTCAGCTGATGAAACCAAATTGTCATTTTCATAAGAGCAGAGCTACGACTCACCAAGGAAGTTAGTGAATAGTTTTCCTTTTTGTTTCTTTTTCTAAAGATCAAGGACGTCGTATCCAAGACATGTTATCTATCGTGGAGGGAAGTCCGTCTGATACTGATGAGGGGAAAGACAAGCCTGTTAAAGAAACGATAAAGCCGACACCTCGAGTAGCAAGGGCTAAGTATGAAATTTAAAAGGCTACTTGCAATTTTAACTTAACCGAATTCTAAAAACTAGATTGTCACCATTGAAATGAAAGCTTTTGAGTGGTACTATCAAGTGGTTCTGTCTATTTTGCTAAACAAGAAATTTCTGACCTAATAGTATGAAAATTAAAACCCTGGTGTATGACCGATTAAAATGAAAGCTTCAGACAGTACTTTGATATGGTTTAGTTAACCCTTTACCTCCCAGAAGTGATTAACGTGAAACTTCTCCCTACAATATCCATACATTATTCAGCAAACTGGTAGGGAGAATATTCAAACTTATCAGGTAGAAGCTGCTATCTTGACCTAGCACCAAGTTCTCATAACTAATTTACAAGGAGATGTGTAGCAGCTACAGGGGAGAATTAACAATCAGATCATGGAAGTTAAAGGGTTAAGTATGCTCTACAACGTTGGTCAAACTTATGTGTGAAGGCGGATATCTTCCCAATGTGACCTTTCAAAGGAAAAAAAGGTTTTAAGCTGTAGCTTTTGGGTTAGTTTCCAACATGCACTTTATTTTTTTTCACAGAAGTTTCTTTGAAAATCAAGATCAACCGCCAGAACCTAAGCCCATCGTTAGAAGAACAACGAGTAATGAATGGAAGCCGAAACCTGCTCCTCAGGAATCTGCTAAAAAGCCTGTATCTCCACCAGCAGCCCGAGAAAAACCTGTGTACGTGAAACCGAAACCTAAGGAGCCTCAAAACCAAGCGGATCTAGTAAAAATTGCTTTAGCTCAGCAGGCTGGACCGGTCAAACCGGATTTAAAGGGCAGACCACGCTCAATCTCTGCACCTCCTCAAGAATTGGTAAGATCATAAACGAATTATACTACATTATTGTTAAGATTATGCATACACTTCAATATATTTTGCTGCAAACATGTAATGAGGATAAACAAACTTGTCAAGTTGAGGTTAATCTTGACCCAACACCGAACTCTTTTTGCTGATTGACCAGGAAATGTGTAGCCGCTAGAAGGGAGAATTTTACTTCAATCTCAGAAAGTCAAGGGATGGCATAGGGGGCGAGGGTGCTCGTCCTACCTCTGTGGCCTAGGTCCGACTCCCAGACCTGGTTCCACGTTTGGGTAAAGTTTGTGGTTGGTTCTCGCTGTCGCAGTGAGGGTTTTCTTCAGGTTTTCCGTTTCTCTTCCATTCACTAAAACAAACTCTCAGTTTTCCAATTTCGACCTGGAAACCAAGGGACAAGTAGCCACCTCTAAGAACTGCCGCAGCTTAATTCCAATTTATTTTATGTAAATAGAATGGTTCACGCGTTTTACTTGCTTTTTCCTGATTTCCTTTCAGCCTCGTATTCCTCCACCCGATTATAAACTACCCCGAGAAAAACTCGGATATCTACGTCACGTGACTCCAGGACCTAAACGAGTGTTGCCAGAGAACTTTCACGTAGAAGATATCAATTTGAGACACATTTATCGCTCCAACCCGTCCACTCCAACTCAAACCCCTCGTTACTCTCACCTCCTGCGAAAGACCGGGAAGAGAGGAGAATTGGGAATAGCAGATGACGATGACAATAGTGACGTAACTCGCATATCTTTTAATGTGCCTTTGATTGGTGTGACATGAAAGTAAAGCTTGCGGACTCAAAGTCCTTAAAAGCTTTTTTCAGCCTAATCCTAACCAGGAAGGGATGTTACAGTTAAGTTCCCCTTACAATGAACAATACTTTATCTTTTTAACCCAGCCAAAGGGTTATATTTATTGAATTTACAAGGGAATGTGATGCAATATCAGAGGCAGAATAAGCAATGAGATATTGATGAAAGAAGAAACAGGGAAAATGGTAAAGTTTAGTTCGTTAATCATAAAGCCCTTTCCCAAGACCTCAACAGTCTCTAAAGTGAACCGGGAGAATTGTAATGTACTGTATTTAAACAGGAAGAGAAAGATATTAAATATATTTATGCTTATTTAGGGATTAAATTAACCCCAAAGTCTTCTCGTTGAAAGGACAGTTACTATCTTAATGCTTGTACAGTGAAAGTTCTTGTTATAGTGAATTACAGTAATTATTAAACAGCCACATCATAAAACAGTCGCATCAGGGCCACAGACGTTCTTTCGGGTCACCAGCGTTTTTTTTTTCTTTTTTTTGCCTTAAGTTTATCAATAATAGTTCTGAAAGTATTGAAGGAAGACAGTTTCAATTTTCTCGGCATTCTTGCTGAATGAACTTTCAATTAAAGTTTTTGAAATTCAGTTACTAAAACACATTGAAAAAAAATATTACAAACGTAAGACTCAGCTTTTGAAATTTTTCTGTCAGTGGCTTTTTGTATATCGCGCAAAATCTTTGCCGTGTTTTAAGGTTGTAATACTAACGCTTGTCTCCAAATAGACGTAGTCACAGAGGCATGCTTAAAAATTGATGCTCTGGCTTTTAATCACGATCATACTTTTGAACAGTTTTCAAATGAGTTTCGAAAAACCAAAACCGAAGTTATCCCAGCGACAAGTCAGAATAAAGGTTTATATTATCATTAGCCAATGAGAACTCAAAGTGGAAACAAGCAAACTTTCTGAAGGGTGGGAAACGCGGGTGACCAAGTCGTGATTGATGTAAGTTTTGCCTCTGACTGCTTGAGAGGATGGCGCGAGTTTTCTGGACCAATCACAGAGAAAAGTTTGTTAAAGATTTAGAGGATGATAAACTTGGTAGGAGATTCAGATTCTGACATTTATGTTTTTAGCAGCGTTATTCAAAATCTGCTTGTATCGTTATATACACTCGTTTTGTACGAAAAGACAAGATAATTGTAATATTTGTATATATATTTATTTTATATTTAATAGTGATATAAAAAAGAGTACACGGACTATTGTGGGTGCTTCTCTGTGTTTTGTAGCTCGGGAATACAAATTCGTTTCGTAGTGAGACAACTAACAACATTTGATGGAATCAGACCGCCTTAATGCACATAACACAGACTCGTACCTAGTCGCTATTCACGTGTTTTGTGGGCAGAGAAGATAAGATACAAGGATTGATTGAGGCAGGCAATTTTTCCTTTGGCTTCCCCTCTGCGCATTACACCCGGCTCGGCTCAATTTATCCTCGTATCCAGTCTTCTCTTCCCGCCAAACAAGTAAATAGCGACTGGGTAGGAGTCTGCTCACAACCATACCAGCAGGACCGCCATATTGATGTAACTTAATTATGGAAATCTCCCAATTTAATTAGCTGTGATTCTAACTCTTTTCAAGATTAATATTTCTTTAGTTTTCATGAAAAGCTACAACCCCTGTTCGTTTGAGTCAGGGGCACCTGTGTGAGTGCATTATTGTTTAGCTTGTGCTGGTAAGTTTCCGGAAGCAATGGCATTCTGTTCATATTCAGCTTCCAAGTGTGGACTTTGGGAGCTTGCTTGACGACCATTTTGTTTTCTTACAATTGAGGAAAACTCCAAGATTTTTCCTTTCAGACCCCTTACAACTCGCTTATCGCTGTTATAGGGTATTGCCGCGTCTCTCTCCCAATCTCTCACTCCGTTTTTATTGTTTCCCTGGTCATGACCCTTGTTTTATCGACTTTCTTCAATAATCAAAGCAAATTTATTTAGGCACACCAATGAAAGGAGATCGCAAGAATATATATGTTGTCGAAGCCCTGCGTCATTTCCAAATCAAGTGGATATTCGCTTTAACGTAAGTCACACGGATAAGAGGTACAAGTGGGTTAAATTGGCACAAGCGAAAAAACCAGAAAGAAGCCAGTGCGCATACCCGCAAGATGACTAAGCTCCTAACGTTCAATTTTTTTTTCGGTTGCATCTATTTTAGTTTGATTTAAAGACGGTACAAGTCTCACCTCATTTCCCTCCTCAAAAATGTTCTTAAATTGAATTGGCTATGAGTTCACAAACTCTTTTTTCTTTTTAATAGTCGCTGGGCCTGCGAATTAAACCGCTGGGAATTGATATTACACCAATACTTTTCCAAAAAATATTTTACGTTTTCTTTCTTTTTCCTTCTGTTTTCTTGAAGCCTTTTCCTGTAAGTGCCTCCAAACATTAGTTAAGATTGTGGTTATGAAAATCAGGTAAAAAAAAAATTATCGAAATATAAACTATGAAACCATGTTTGAAATTCCATCACGACCCGTGTCCTAGTATGCAAATTTACACCAACCTCCTTTGCAGTTCTCATCTAAGTTTGCACGTGCAAATTTCTTAGCTTATTTACATTTTATGGTTCCTCGTGGTCTAAACTGTTCACTTCTCAGGATAGAGAGAACTAGAAAAGCACGTCTAAGGTCAGAACGTGGCTGAAGAAAACGAGGAATTACATTTGCTTGGAAAGTTGACATGGAATCTCATCTTAATGCAGATTTTTATACATCGTAACAAACGGTAGGAGCGTGACTAAATTAAACTTGGAACTTTTTCTGCAACGCGCTTAATAAAGCTGAGAGAATTCTTGATAAACAGGGAAGGCCTTTGAAGTAGCTCTAGGTCAACAACTCGATACTCAAATCAATATCGTCAAAGAACAGTTAAAGAGCGAAGTTATCTCTTATCTGCATCAGCTCGCCTCAGCTGAGTCATTGCTTGGTGAAGGAGAAAATTCGACTTTGCTTGGCGTTAAATACAAACCGAGAGAGGAGTTGTTAACACAATAAGTCCTAGTATAGGTACCTTTCAGTGTAGGTGTTGAATACATTGAGAAGTAATTTAGTTGCCAGGTAGAAAACTAAGATCACATCTTTACCAATGCAGCTGCAGGGATAAAACAGAAGAACATTTCTATTTTACCAATTCAACGTCATTTATGATTCAGTCCACAGAAAAATGGGAAATAATACTGTTATTTTGATTCCTTGCAGATGAGCTACTTAAACGGGAATATCCAACATATGTCAGGAAAATAGCAAGGAAACGAAAGCAAAGAATTTCAGCATGGTATATCCTCTGTCCTCAATAGTAATAAATACGTTTTTAGTGTGTACATGTGACTGCTGATGTATTGGTCAAAGAACAACATTCTTTCTTTTAACGTCAGTTAAAAGTTTTCAAAGTAGTAGTATAGACAATGGTAAACAGTCGAAATGTTTTGTGAGACAAAGGTTTTATCAAATCATTCTAAGTTTGGAAGAAGGAGATGAAAAAATAAGAAGCAATTTCAAGTTAATTATTTGGAAGCGGGGTTCTAAAACTCGTTCAAACTTTTAAAACAAGTGCTCATTCGACAACCAAACTCAAATTAAACCTGTCTTAGCTAATAATTTGGTGTAAAAGAGAAGATATAGATAGATTGTCTATAAAAATGTTTTTGCCAATTTTATATGGAAATATATTCTAGCTCTGTTCAGATTAGATAAAACATTATGCAAACTTTTTTTCGTTTAAATTAGTATTAATAAAATCAGAGCACCGACAAAGAATGATTGGAATGTAACAAACGTTTCGGGCGCGCCTCACAAATTTACTATCTTAAAAAACAAATCATTAATTTTTTTTCACCCAAAGTTGACCAGAAATTTCTCCTTCTCTCTTGCTGTGGATAAGGCAAAACCTTTTTGCGGAAATGTTTGGCACTTTAAGGTAATCAATTTTTTAAAGAGTATTTCAATAAGTATAACGTGAGCAGTAGCTTTTGATTTATTGAAAGTTGTTGATGTTTAAAAACCTCGAGTACTAATTTTATAACAACTTTGAAATTCGGACAAAGGTCAGTTCTAGTTGCATATCAGCATAATACTTGGCCGATGCAATTAACTACCTTTCACATTTTACACGATGAAAAAATTGACGGAATTTTCCAGCAAACACGTTGATCAACACGCTTAAAGTCCAGCTCGCTCATTCAAGATGTTAAAAATTTCGCCTTCTTTCACGGATAGATTCCCAACCGCAACGTCATGAATCACATTTATATAGTAAAACAATTATCAGATACTTTTGAAATAGTTCATGACCGGAATGACGAGTCGTTTCGTCTCGAGAAAACTCTAATTTTAAACTTATTTTTTTTCACCTGCAAAACGCGTTTTTGAACAATAGGTTGCATTTGGGTATTTCCAATTTATCACACTCAAACGTTTTTGTATTGTTCTAGGTTCTTCGTCGACTGCATGATCAACAATCGATTTTTCGCCCGATTCTTTTTAGATTTAGGTTAAACTTCTGTTTAGCGCTAAACCACTTCTGGCTTCGACTTTCCGTGGCTAATTAACAGCGTGCGGTGTTTATTTTATTTTGTATTTCAAACAGACAATAAACCTGAAGCTTTCACAATATTTGTTCAATTTAACGAGGCACACAGTGAACTTAAATCAGCTGAAGTATTTTATAATTATCTTCAGTTAATTATCTTCAATTAATTTTTCGCACTTAAACCTTAATCATAATATGTAAGTGAAGTACACGAGTGTTTTGAACGTTATTGGGAGCTGACAAATTAACGAAACATCTTCATTGTTGTAAAGATACAACACGCGATACAATATCGCAGTACCTACAGGACTTAGAACAATTTGCCGGATGGAAAAGAAAACAATACATCTATAAAGGCAAACTCGTGTTCACGTGTAACCCTCTAACTCCCGAGATCTGATTGTTAATTCTCCCATCTAGCTGTTACACCTTTCCTTGTTTCCCTTGTTCCTTGTTGTCCAAGAATTTGGTATTAGACTGAGATATCAACTTCTACCTGATACATTTGAGTACTCTCACTAATAATAATAATAATAATAATAATAATAATAATAACGGTTTAATATCAGTACATCCATGGTATGGCTCTTTGCCTGATATAAAATAAAAAGAAATAATAATAATAATAAATAAAAATACATAAATCTGAATTATGAATTTGTAAAAAGCTAGGTAATAAACAGTAAAATGTAATTATACAATATATACATTATTTAAACTAGGCAAGAAATTATTCCGCCCTATACCGGCAGCGCTCCATTAAAATACATAATGTTTGCTTACTAAAGGATTTAAAATTATCACAGTATTGAACATTGGATGGCAGAGAATTGAAGAGGGCTGCCGCGCTATACTGAAAAGTGTCCGAGGCATAGGGAATAACTATATTTATGGTACTTGATGACTGTAAATTTCTACCATGTTTTACTTGCTCAAGCTGAAGGTTTCTGGGCCAATCATGAGAGTATATACATTACCTGTTTGCTGGATAGTGGATGGATATTGAAGGAAGAAGTTACATGTGAATCACTTCTGGGAGATAAGGGGTTAAGCATTTTGTTATTTTATTTTGTAAGCAAGTTGAGTTAAGTTTGTATTTTAACATGTTCTTTTGTGTTATCTTGCAGTTGCCAAGTTGATTTTGACCATAAGCATAGAGAGAGAGAGAGAGAGAGAGAGACGCTGGACAAACTCGAACTGTAGGAAACTTTATTCAAGGAAGTATATTTGGAAAACAGTTAGCATTAGAAGGTAACAATCCTACCTTAGCGCCTCTCGGTCCTTATTCAGAATTTTAAATCTCGTTAGAACACACAAAAAATTTTCAAATTCAAGTACTGTAAGATACAACTATATACCAATGAGCAAAATTCGCAACTTGCAATATGTTTTATGTTTGGATCAGATGGTGAGCGGTCAAAAATTAAAAAGAAAAAAAAATATCAGAAACCTGTTAAAATAAAGTCTAAGTTAGCTTATGTGACTAGGAAGACATTCTCACTACACTAATTTTAAGTCGAAAGTCTTAAATTTTTGTTACAAGTTCTCTTTCCAAATGATTCAAAGCAGTAGTTCATTCCTACCCGACTTGTTCTGTTTTTGACTTAGTCTAGATCTTTCTGATGTAAGAAATGCTTTCCCTCCACATTTTTACAAAAATCAGAC